TTTCTTCTAGAGGACATTTTACTTGAAGTAAATATATTTTTCTTGATCAAAAGAAGAAATTACTAGAATAATATCTAGTAGATTTTCAATTAATAGTTCATTTCAATAGAAGAGCTATATTCTTCCGAATTCTCGCTTAGAATATTGGATTATAGGAAATAATATCTTACAACTAGAGTTTTTTTGTTGAGTTTAGTTCCTTTCGGATTTAGAGGAATCCTCTTGAGGCTTTGTATTAAAAAGCTATCTGTTATAAATAAGATCATATTTTTTGAGATAAAATATATATTCTGATAATGTTGCTGACCTTTTCAGCGACTTAGATAAAAATAATTTTTTTGGAAACCCTTCATATTAAGTGAAAAATGGCAAATTGTCGACAAGAGATTTCCTTAGTGAATCGTGAGCTTGGGCTCGCGTGAGGAAATTTAAAACTTATAATTCGCAAACAAGATGAGAAATTTAATTAGCGACGATGTGACGGTCGATGCAGCACCGAAAGATACGGTTTCAATGTCGAATCCGAATCGCCAACCACGACGACGTCTCGACCGATCGACACGTGGAAGTGGGTGAAGAAACGATGGGACGACAGTCGGTAGCATGTGGCCGTTTTATTCCGCGTGGTTCTCGTTAGACGTTGCATCGATCGGGACGTGCGTACGCTGCGTCTATGCACTTACGTAAATTCGCACGCAATGAGCTTAAGTGAGTCTTCTTTCGTGAGGCCCCGCGGTGGGTCAGATAACGGTCAGCCGCGTATTCCACTTGGCCGGTTTGCTCGCACCTCGATTCACCGCCTCGACACGGCAATTTGAGCGCAGATGGAAATTTGAAAACGATTTTCGCGCGAAGCATTGACATGTCGAGACAGAAACTCCAAATGCTTTCATAGAAATTAAATTTTCTGTTAGGAAAATAAGTGTAATAATAACTGTAATAATGTATTTTACTTCAACAATGTTATATACACTCAAAAGAATATAATATCATTCTTAGTGGAATCCTCTGAATCTTAGAGAATTTTACTCTATAATTTTACTCATATAGTCTCAAAAGGTTTCTTATAAAATCAAAAGAAATTAAATAACAATATTCTTAAAGCTAGAAGAATTTCGTCTTTTATCCATAAGTCTTGTTTTTATATAATAAAAATACTAAGAGAATATCCTACTCCAAACAAACATTCCTTTTGATTCAAAAGAAAGGAAATAAATTGGAATAATATTTAGTAGATTTTCGATTTATAGTTCACTTTATTAGAAGAAAAATCTATTCGGTAAAAATTTTCTTAGAATATAGAATTACAAAAAATACAGCACCTTTCAAATAGAGACTTTCTTTTTGGATGTGAAAACGATAAAGACTTCAAATTAATATTGCAAGCGCTTTGACTCGCGAAAAGAGGGTGAATTAACGGTGTTAAAAAATTCGGTTTTACTAAGATTGCTTGGAAATCTCGAGAGTGAGAATTCATTCGTCGAAGAACGCGCTGCACGTTTAACGAGCAGCAATCTGTGCAAGATCGTGTCTGTCTGTTATTTAAACGCCTGCATCACTCTTGATGATTCTGTCGGGAGTTTACAATAGCCGGTTGTCGAGATGTCAGGTAGAGATAAAGCAACGCTGATAAACAAGAAAGGAGAGATATCCGGAAACGGCGCGGCGCGTCGTTCGCTCGCGTGCAAAATTTTTGCGTGTGCCGCCGCGACTTTCGCCGAAACCGATCCCACTGACCCACTGCAACCCGACGGATTAGAGTTCAGCAATTACTCGTGAAATTTAATTGACGTCACAGCGCGCGGCCGGCATCGATGTTGCAAAACGCTGCCGCGAACTTCGATCCACATTTCTGGCTTTCTCGACGGCGGAAGTAACACGTAGTTGAAAATGATCGAAACTGGCAACTGTGATTAACCAAGTGTCTGGTAAAATAGGAACAAACCAGAATTCTCTCCAAGTTAACAAGGTCTTTGTTATCAGAAATCTTGTTCGTACACCAGAATCTTGTTAACTCGAACAGATTTCTGGTTTGTTCATATTTCACCAGACATTTGATTAATCAAACTTTTTTCCATGCGCCTTTATGCGCGCCTATGTGTGTATATGTATTTTGTTCAAGATAACAGGTTAAATTCTTTGCGAGATCAGAGTGTGAGAGAAGAATCGCGAATTCTACTTTGGCCAGTATTCTGAGTTCTCTTTTAACAATAAATGATCCTCTAAAAGTGGCTTATAAGCTTTCTGATTGGCTATGAGTCACTTTTATGAGAGACTCATTTATCGTTAAAAGAGAACTCAGAATACGGGCCTTTGACTCTAAAGCTGCGTTCCAAGACGTATCTAGTTGCCACTTATGGCCTTGACACGCACGTGTGCGCTGTATCACTCATTCAGCGTAATTCATTCATTCTGAACTTCCGTCGGCTGCAACTCATTTCCGTTTCAACCGCTTTCAATACGATCCCAGTGCCGAATGAAATCGGTGATTCACGAAATCGCGTGACCTGCTCGCTCGATAAATCCCTTGTCGCGTATTACGTTCTATTTGCCAAATTGCCCGACGCCATTTATCAATCGAAGCCCCGTGGGACATATTTCGATTAAACCAGTTTTATTTCTTTCCCTTCTTACTCTGGCTGTTCAAACGCCACGATGGGTATTAATCAAAGCAAAGTCAATGGATGAGATATTCATGAAAAATAAAATGCTGTTATTTAAGCAATTGTATCATAACATAAAATGCTGTTATTTAAGCAATTGTATCATAACATAAATTTAGCAAACGTGTTTAAAGCAAGAATCGACTTTCTTGAAATGAATCAACAAAAATATTTCGGGTTAAATCAGTGTTTACTGATTTTCACTGGAAATACTCCTTTACTGCTTTATCGTATATCTCACTAATTTTAATCAGTGCACGAGAAAAGATTTGGTTAGATTAATAATCAAATATTTTTGGTAAAATATAAACGAGCCAGAATTCCAATAGAAATTGCCAGAATTCTGTGTTCAAGTTAATAAGATTTTGATTAACAAAACAACATTAACAATTTTAATTAACTAGAACTAAAGTTTAACTTAAACAGTTGCACAAGTTCTAATTAATCAGAAATCCTGTTTGCTTAATCAGAATCTGTTAATTTAAGCATAGAGTTCTGATAACTTCAACTGGAATTCTGGTTTATATTTTACCAGACATTTGGTTAATTCAACAAAATTTTTTTCCGTGTCTGTGTTTATAAATTACATCAATAATGATAACAATCACTATTATTAACTGATCCTTTCAGCGAGATCGTAGTGTTATACTCGTGACTAAATCATCAGCTATAATACATTTTAGTGAAAAATATACTGATTATACTTTAGAAAGAAGAAACCTGTGTTCTATCAATCAAGAAATCCCCAAAAACCGTTCGATCGCGAACTTCCGTTATCAGAATAAAATCCCACGATACCAAAGGAATTTTTATGCGGAGAATTGCACGCAAATTCCGTTAACTTCTCCACATCACAGGACGAGTTCTGTCGATGTCTAGGCAAGAACCATCGTTATTTCTTACGCGTTTGAAGGACGTGTACGGGCGTCGACGCGACGTGCCTTTCTGGCTCTTTTGTTGGCCTACTTATCAACAGGTAGCAACGTAACGGACGAGGTCCGGTATGCCCAAAAATTCCACGTGGTGTAACAGTGACACCGTTTGGACGAGAATCAACCGCCGCTTGTTTTCATAAAGAGAAAAGAGAGAAAAATTCCAGTCGCGTTATCGCGCAAGGGAATTCTCGCGACCGTGAAAACGCGAAAACCTTTCTCGTTTCCTCGTTCGCGTCGGCGACGCTATTTTCGACGTCTCGTTCGTGTTGAGGAAAGTACAAGTTACGCTCCGCCGAATGCAGATTCTTCCCCTCCTCGTAATTTCGCACATATGCTGCGCCTTTCGCGAATACCCTTGGACGATCAGTCGCAGTTTTCAACTACTGCGTAGCCTTACTGTAGACATTTTTACGCGTAGCGAGCGCGCTCGGGAGTTTGCGTTCCAGCTTGTTCGCTTTGTTTGAATCTGTCTCGACGTCATTATCTACATTACCAAATAATGCAATCGCATTAATAAATAATAAATTCTCGGCTGTTCCACGAAAATTGCCGACACCTTCACTTGATGAGAAAAACATGAAAAATGCTGTTCTAATTGGATGTCTTTGTCGTAATGCAGCGAGAGAAATTGCCCGGTAAAAAATAACAAACGAATGTTTCCGATCAAAATATCGATTAATTTTTGTATCTGATCAGGAAACATCTAATAAGAAATATCGATTCATAATTTTTTGATCGGTTTATCTGATAAAATGCCATTTTAATCGGAAGTATCCGATAAAATTTAATCGGATATTCTGATCGAATATATCCGAAAAATTGATCGGAATTTAATCGGAAATCATTTTTTAATTTTTCATCGGATAATTTCTCTCAGTTTGAATATCACAGAGATGAGTTACATATTATTCTTTAAAGTGCAATCGATGTATTCTTCACTGAAATGCTATAATAATTCAGTTATACCGCAAGTATACTGCATTCAGTAAAATCTCGCTGAAAGTTATGTGACATTCAAAATTATTTCGTGATATCTTGGTAATAATTCAATTCGAAGATTTGTTGGACATTTACATACATTGTCATCTTCCGTGACGCGCCTTATTTGATTCGAAGGACACGCAAAGCTCATGTGTCGACATTGTGTATACATAAACCGTTACTTCAGAAGCGAAGGGACAGAGATTTATTGGATTCTTTGATTTTGCGATTTGCATTGTCCGTGAGCTGGTATGATTTCGTCTAAAATAAAAAAGAATTGAAAAGGCCTATGACTTATCAGTTATCATTCTGAGAAGCCTACAATTAATAGTAATGTGCGACATCAATATAGCGATGTGTTCTTTAATATAAGGATAATCATTATGATGTCTACATTGCTTCGTTTCTCTTGTGATTGTAGGTAACGATACCAAAGAGTAGGAAATAGCATGCCAAGTCAAGACAGGATATCGTCGAGCTGCCTTCTCTTGTTGTACCTGAGCACTTCGATATGGGTGGTTGTAGGTACGTATGTTCGCACCTCGAGAGTTTCCTCTATCAAAGTTTCCTTGTTCTTAATAGGAAACCCGCTGATTCCGGCGCGTTTCTGCGAAACTCCCTCGTAACAATATAATTATTTTCGTGGGAGCAACGGCAACACCCGCGGCACTCGTTCTCGTTAGTCGGTCTGAGGATAACGGCAGACACGCGAAATGCGGAACAAATTGTGTAACAAAAGCTACGATGAGATGATATCGAGAAAAATGGTGCGTGTCGCGGCTTGCGTAATGACACAGCGGTGGCGGCGGGCGGGATTACAGCACGACGAGATGGACCCGAATTTTTTTAACGGGCTGACGCAAGTCTCAATCGATGCGACATCGATTACGTCGGTAATTTAAGTGGAAAAACAGAGCGCGACTCGGCGCGCAGCCTCGTAACCTCTTTTTATCGAGAAAGTACTTCGGGATTTGCATGCGACTCGATCGATTATATCCGCGGGGAATTATGTGACTTCCCCTGGACACAAGGTTTACCGGCCATTTCGAGCGTAACGGAGAAATTGTACGTTTTCAGGCGGGAAAGACCGCCCTGGCGAGCCCGTGAGACGCCTCCACGGGAAAGATCGGCATACTTTATCGAGACGATCTTTTCCACGAAAGTGCGCGATCGCTGAGTCGCGATTAATCGCCCGGTGTGAAAAATGAATGTTTCCTTCCGTACGAAACGGTCTGGTGAACCGCGTCGTCGGCGATCGTCCATTTATTTTTATATCGCTAGAAAGTCCAACATCGAACAACTTCGGAAGAGAGAAGGAAAGGACTGCCGTCATTTCATCGTGTACGGGATATCTGTCCTTATCGCGAGTTGCGGCGCGTAATTTTATGTTCAACATTTGTACTCCTTCACAAAGTAGCTCTATATTCTTGCAACGGGAAAATCAGAGATTACTTTCTGCGAATCAGAACGTTACATTCGTAAAAGTTTGCCAGTGTAGGCAAATTATTTGCGCCCCAAAAAGAATGTGAACTCATCTTTAGCGGAATCCTCTTATATGTGATTTCTCAAGAGGATTCCTCTGAAATCAAAAAAGGAAAATATTTTAAGCACTATATTCTTAAAGTTACAGGAATTTCGGCTTTTATTTACAATATTAGTTTTGTTCTTATAATAAGAATTTTTCCCAGTCAAAAGGCATTCTGCTTCAAATATACATGGTGAAAAATATCTTTCTATATATTCAAAATTTTTAACATATCCGTATACTAATTTAACATATTGTTATATTATTTTGACTATTTTGCGTTGAGTTCATATTCACAATTTCTAAGTGTCAAGATTACACAACAGTGTAATCCAAGTGCTCCATTTTTGTGTTCATTTTCGATATATTATTTGTATTTTTTTTACATGTTTGCCTTGTGTTAAATTAACATAAAAATTAGAATGATGTTGGAATATGTGAAATGTGTTAAATTTAACACAAAATTATTTACATTTCTCTTGATTTAAAAGTAAAAAGAGCTAGAATATCTAATCTATATATCTGATATCTAGTTCTCATCGTAGATTTAGTTTTCCGATTAGTTCACTTCATCAAGAGGAATATTTTTTTGGAAGGAATTTTCTCTTAACGAAATACAAGATTACAGGAAACAGCACTTTGCAACTATAGTTCTTTTTTTAAATATTAGGATATTTACTTTCTGATTTCTCAAGAGGAAGAATCCTTTTGAGGTCGTACACATGTAAGAGGATTCTGCAGAAATTATATTTTTTTGAATGTGAAATAACAATTGATCCAAGTTCAACATGTTTGCTGTGACGGTTTATTTAGAAGTCTCTTCCCACAGATCGCCTCGTATTTTTTTTTTTTTTTACATAACTGTAGAAACAGATTTAGTTTGATAATGTATACATAGGGAAACAAATTTTTTCCATTACGCATATGTGATTCTGATCTCTAGTGAAAGATAGTTGCGTTTCTGGTAGCGAGCATGTTAATATGCGCTTTTATACATATAAATATGCATATAAATAATGCATACAACAAACACACATGATATTAAACACGAGGTGTTATTTAAAAGAGAAGATACGGATCGTAGATTGCAATCGCGCGAAATCCCCAATTACTCACATCGTAAAACTCGCTTCTGCGTGACCGCCGCACCTGCGGTTTCCGCTGCCGGCAGCGACACAAAGGCGGAATGAGCGTTTTCCGCGAACGGCGGAATCGGTAACGCGGAACCGACGACGCGAGTCCACGTAAAACGAAGGACTCGTTGCAGAATTGCGCCGTGGAGTTGCGTTTTCGCGCTTTCTGGCCACGTCAGCGGAAGCTGAATGGCGTTGGCGTGTTTCGGCTCGTCCGCGACTCAATTGTAGATAACGTATCACCCACATCTCGCAGGAAATCCCATTCGGCACAGGATGAGACGGGAAGCGGAGATAGCGTCGACCAACTGGACCGCGTTAGCCGACGAGTGGATCGCGGCGAAGGCGCGGGCGTCCGAAAGGATGGACGTGGCGTTGCTGCCGTTCAACGAGAGATACAGGGAACTTCCACCGACCGCGGCCACGGAGACCTACGTGGTTAACGGCACGAGTCCGGATCAGATGGTGCGGGTGAGGAAAATCTTTTCCATTGGTCTCCTCGTCTTTCCTGAGCGCGTGCGACCCTCGAGATGAGCGAGGTCGCATCCGCGCCTCCGGAGATCCGGCCGCTCGTGAGCCGCCGATTGCGTAAGATCCTTGGCTCGTTATCAATCGAAAACTTTCTCCGGCACGAGTACCATGGTAAACAGTGCGTTTTATCTTCCTTGTCTTTTTTCCCCTGCGAAAAATGACGCAAAAACTGATGCCAATAGTGTGGCATGAGCCGTGCTACTGCACGTTGCAGATATCTTTCCAATCGCAAACTTTTAGAAAACGCGAGAAACACCGCGCTAATTGCATCAAAATGATTTCAAGGCGTCTGCATGCACTGCCCAATCATCTCGCTGCATGACGTCACACGTGTCGGCTTCACATGAAAAGTTCGCGACGATCAAACAGAGAACACGAAGAGAATGTTAGATTATTAGAATATTATTATAAATTATAGAATATTAGATTATTTTCTTATATATAAATTTTAATAAGAAAGTATTTCCTTTTTTTCATATAAATTCTATTTAATTTTAAGAAACTATGTTTCTACTAGTACAGGAAAATAGACTGTCAGTAAACTTTATCTTGCTAAGGAATATATATAGCAAAAATTTCACTCATCCAAAAAAATATGATTTTAGTGCCAAGAAAAGCGATCAATTTGGTTCTTTCTTTTACAACGGTTATTTTCAACAAAGAATACTTTTCTGATAATAGCTTTAAAATGTGTTCATCACAAATTTGATCACAAAAAGATAAGTTCATTATCGTGCACTCCAAAGAAGAATTTATCTTCTTCACAAGAATATCATACTTGATTCGATTCTATATAGTAAAAAACCGAGTTTGGTTTTAGTGTAATATTCTTGATTAAAACGTTAAACTTATTAGGATTCAGAATATATTTTGAATAAATTTTACATTCATGACAAACTTACGGTAAATTTGCGGACATATAAACTTATGAGATACCTGAAGCAAGCATACTTCAACGCAGTATATATTTTTCTGCGTGCAGAAACATAGGAAGCTTTTTAATTGCACGTTTCAATCTCCAAAACATAAGTGAACACATATGAAATGAAAGCATATTCAATCACTACAAAATATCAATCTCTTTCTCTGCTACAAAATCCCATAACAATGTTTGCTATAAAATTCTCTCCGTATATTACTCTTACTTTTCTTATTGTCTCTCGAAATAATTCTCATTGAATCGCGAAAGCGCCGACACCTTTATCGAACAGAAATCGGGTCCAGAGTCCGGAAATCTCTGAAGAAAATAATTATAATGATCACATTAGTCTTCTTCTCGTACCTCTCCGACGCACATGTTGCGTAATATTATCCGTTCGACGGCCGATAATATGGACGATGTACGCGACGTCCGGCGGCCCGTTCGGTCTATTTCTACTTTGCGTGACAGTAGTTACGCACCGGACGCAATCACGTTGAAAGCACGTTCGACACACTCGATTAATAGGAAAAGTAGCATCTGCCGTCCGACTGAAACCTCGCCTTCCGTAAACACATAGCCATGCGACGAAACGCGTCCCTCGCCACCGGGCGATCGTTACCGGAATAAATCGGCAGAATCGCCGGCGAAACGAGAGAAGACCGTGAAGAACTTTCTACGCGCGTTCGCGCGCACGCTCCTCCTCGTAATGAGACGAAATCGTTCTAATCGATGCATTTTCACTCTTGCGTCCACGTCTGGATGCCTCAATCAGCCCCACGCCCTGCTCGCGTTTCTCTCTCTTTCTCCCCCTCGCCGCGGAATTGGTTTAGAAAAGCGTTCATCAACCAGAGCTACTTAATATCCCATCGTCGATGAACCGTGCAATTAATTAATTAAAAGTGATCCGTTGCGTTTCACCGTTGATGGACCTTTCTAACGGCGCTTTCATCTCCCGTCTATCGTAATTATCGTAGTGCATATCCGTGTTATCGTTCCGCCTTCGAGGATATTATCCGCGACGTAAGCCTCCCAATCAAGCGCGAACAATGTGTGTACGCCTGCGAAATCGTCGACGGCGGTGGCGACCGTGTGCGAGAAATCACTTTCCCATATTGGGAGACTCACCGTTCCACCGTGAAACGCATCGCCGCGGATACAAGGATATCCTAATCGCGAGAACGCAGCTCGTCGCTCACGAACAATTCCGGGATCGTCGGGTTCTTCCGTGTTGCTTGTTCTCTTTCGGCACTTTCCATTTAGTAACACAAGCCAACACAAACGTCATTCTTTGTTACATATTCAATGAGTAATAAAGATGATGCTTGTGCCAACTTGTATCATCAGACGAAAGACACTCTTTCTTCTCCGAATTCTCCTCTCATTCTTCTGCTTTAACACAAGTTTTGTCTTTGTTCCAGACTCAATGAGTAACAAAGATAGGATGATGCTTATATCACTAAATGGAATACACCTTTTATCGTTTTATTTTTTTCTCTTCCTTCTTCTTCTCGTGCCCGTCTTCTTTTTTTCCTTCTCTAACATAAGTCGACAGAAACATCATTTTGTCTTTGTTCCAAATTCAGAGAGTAAGAAACATAGGATAATGCTTACGTCATTAAATCGAAACCACTTTTTATCATTCTGTTTCTTCTCCTCTTCGCTTGACTTCTGTTCCTTTTTCTCTAACACAAGTCGACACAAATTGTCATTTTGTCTTTGTTCAAAATTCAATGAGTAAGAAAGATAAGATAGTGCTTGTGTCATTTTGTATCACTGAATAGAAAGCAATATTTATCGTTCTGTTTTCCCTCTTCCTCTTTCTTTTTCTCCTTTTTCCCCTTCCCACACGTCTTTGCTCGACGGGACGCGACTTGTCGCCGGCTCTCACTTTCAGTGCCAAAATACTTTCACCGTGGCGACCGACGACGCCGCGAGTGCAAGTATGTACCCTCTATCCTTCCTCTATTCGCTTCGTTTACACGCGTACGCGTAATACACGGTGTCAATGACTTTCGCCCGCGAAAGTCGCGCCGATCATCGATACCGTTCGTCATCGCTTGCGTAAAAGAAATCGCCGGCGACACGCCAGTCCGCGTTCCCTTCGATCTCGCGGGAAGCTGCGCGATCGATTTTCGATCGTCTCGCGATCGAGATCGCGGGAGGAAAGTTGCACGGAAAGCGACGTGACGAGAATTCACTCCAATAAACGCCAAGTTACGATACGCTACGTTAAATCGCGCACTCAACTGATTTCCAACGCGTTTTCGTCTTCTCATTGAACTAATTACCGGCGATGAAATAGATACTTAGAAATCAGTACGATATCTTCTCGCAAAGGGAAGGAGAGCAAACCTCAGCAATTAAATGACTTGATTTTATTTAATTTCGTGATGCAAGTTCGTGTTCGATTTGCTAACGATGCTCCCGAGAGAAACGGTAAAACTCACAAAAGCGACGGAGACGTATGATAAAAAAACAAGTAAAATTACATACACGTAGTTAACCGTGTGCAACGACGCTTGTCGCCGTCGTTTGTACCGAAGTTCACCAGCACCCGCCGTGTGGAACAAATTATCTTCGCGCGTACCCAACATGGTTGTAATATATACAGTTTAAAGATGCTGCAGCACGTGGATTTGAGAAGTAAAATTAAATCACTTGAAGAAAGCGACACTCAAAGTGGAGTTGGGATCTTCAAATGAGAACCATAATTAAATCGCATACACGTTAAAAGGGCAACTCTAAACTTTGCATGGCGAAAAAGGGTTGATTGAATTAACATGACAATGATACAACTAAATGTGTTGAAAGAAACAGAATTTGTGGTTCTTATTACGAAACGAATTTGAAAATTAAAAACCGAATTTAATTCATTGGAATCACAGAATGTTTCCTTCAACCAAAGCGCACTTGGTTGTGTTATTATCACGTTAATTGAACCAATCTTGTTTCCCCGTGTGCAATTTCGTAATTTCTTCCTCGGTAATTGATCACACCCTCACGTCGCGATTTCATGATCGCACGTGGTCTTAATTGCAGTTAAATTACTCGCGGATGCTATGGGATATGGAGACGGTGCAGCCGAGTGGGCACCTATCCGGCTTCGTGGACAAGGCTCTCAAACTGTTGGACCTGAGGCAAGTGATGATGGAGGTCGAGACCTCTGTGATGTCCAAGGTCTCTTGCACCGCATGCAAGGTTGGCGCCGGTCTGTTGCAACATTACATAAAGGTCGGCAAGAGCGACGAGGAGATTATGGCCAGCATCTATCAATTCTGCGTGTCGCTCAACATACAGAGCGCCCGAGTTTGCCACGGTGTCACTCTGCTCTTCGGGGTAAATTGCATCGCGTTCTACTTTTCTTTTCCGTCTCGCTTGACGAGGCGCATAAACGAGCGTGTAAATGGGCGATTAACCTGAACTGAATCTCCTAGATGCCCGGTTGCACTGACGTCCTTAAATGTCGATTAAACTTTAATCTGAATTTAAGTCTTTGTCTGAAAACAGTTTAAACTCACATTAAGGCTTAATAGATGTTAATGAAACCGGACATTAGAGGCCAGATTGTGATCAACTATACACTTTTTATACATTTCTTAATTTTAATATTGCTACACATAGTTCAGTTTCTAAAAATTAAGAAATTTATAATAAATGGAGTTGATCAATTTGGCTCTTGGGAGGCTCAATTATCAGTCACGAAACTCACCAGTTTTCGCGATCTCACAAGGAAATAGTACGTATTAACACACAAGAATCGCTTTGAAATCGTATCAATGTATAGAGAACAGTCTGAAGGACATTACTATCAATTTGTTTCGTTTCTAGTAAAACCCGCCTACTGGCGACTTTGGGAATTCACATCAAACAGGTTTGGTTCATTGATAATGCATGAATGGGGACTTATAAGACCTCTATAATACTTACGGGTTTTACCACTAACAAAATGGAGCCATTTCTCAAGTATCAGGACGAACCGATGATAACAAATAAATAACAATGCCCTTCAGACTGTCCTCTATACGTTGATACCGGTTTCAAAGTGATTCTTGTGTATCAATACGTACCATTCCTTGGTCAGATATATTTGTGAAATCGCGTTTCCTGTTGAATAAAGTCGCGATTGTCGAGCGTCGCCTTTCCAAAATAACAATAATAAAGAGCAGACGGATCAATTTCCTACCAAGATAAGAAGATAACGGGAAGATGTCGGGAGAGAAGCTACGTACACATCATATTTTGGGAAAATGAACAATCGTCTTACGATCGCGACTATTTTTTCATCGGAAACGCGAGGAGAGGACAGTTCACCCCAGGATGAATCGTGCGTTAGATCGATACCATTGAATCTGCGCTGCAGGTGGAGGTGATCTACGTGCTGAAGCAGGTGAGCATGGGCCCAGCTCAGATCTGCAGTTTTGTGATCGGCGACGCGTGCGACGACGCGTTCAATCCACTCCACGAGTGGGAGGTGGCCTTCCCTCCGGTCAAGAAACCGCCGATCAAGCCGCCAATACCACCTCAGGAGACCGCACCGACCTTCAAAGTGTTGCACATCTCCGACACACACTATGACCCGTATTACCAGGAGGGCGCGAATGCGGAGTGCAACGAGCCGCTCTGCTGCCGATTGACGAACGGCGCTCCGTTGACCGCCTCGGCGGCGGCAGGTAGATGGGGCGACTACAGAAAGTGCGACACGCCGAAAAGAACGATCGACCACATGCTTAAGCATATCACCGATACGCATTCGGTGAGTAGCGGCAGTAGTGCAATCGAGCGATTAAAACGTGTCGTCACGCGGAAGCTCAATGCGAGAGGGAGGGCGGCGTCGATGAAACTGTTATTCTGGAGCAAGTCTCCAGCTTGTCAATCAGAATGAATCGTCGCGTTCCGGCTTTTTCTATCTATAATTATTATGCAAGAAAATAATTAATTTATCATTCCAAGAGAGAACTTGATAAGCGTATGGTACAAGCAAATTTCTCAATTTTTTCATGTCAAAGTCCCACTTCAGAGATCTCTCGTCTGCTCTTAAGTTGAACATTAGGACAACTAAATGTTCCATATTTCGTTGGTAAGTATCTGTTAATTACACGCCAACTGTTCAGGATATCGATTACATTCTGTGGACCGGGGACTTGCCGCCGCACGACGTGTGGAATCAGACGCGGGAGGAAAATCTGAAGGTCTTGCGTGACACGGTCGCGCAAATGGTGGAGATGTTTCCAGGCATACCGATATTTCCGGCCTTGGGAAATCACGAAAGCGCACCGGTTAACAGGTACACGCGCGTACGCTTATATTTTATCTTGACGACGCGACTTTCACTTTCTCGGAGGATATCGTTTCAAATAGGACCACTTCGAAATATGTCTACACATCCTGAGAACTTGGAAAATTAAGTCATTCTCCATTCCGTTGTCGCTGGTCGATTTATTTTTATCGCTTATCAACTAGACCCTCCTAATGCACTAGTCTTTCCTAATACACGAGAGACAAGTAAGGAATTTGTCGAACATTTTCGAACGTTTTTCACTCGATCGCGGTTGAATTTTGAAAAGTTTAAAATTCCGAAGTCTTGAATAAACATAAGTTCTCGTGAATAAACATTTGATATGACGGTCAGATAAAGTTAACACGAATACATAACGGCATTTGCTTGCTGTGCTTCGCAAGTAGAAATTCTTTACAATAGAAACTTTATTTTCGACATATTTTTCGACCAAGAAAAACTTTTTTCAAAACGAAGGAATCAACTCAAAGATCCGCACGCTCGTTTTAGCTTTCCCCCGCCTTTCGTGCCCGAAGAAAATAGTATTTCCTGGCTGTACGATGAGCTCGACAAGCACTGGAGACGCTGGTTACCAGCCGGAGTCTCGCACACTGTTCGTCGAGGCGCGTTCTACTCGGTTCTAGTACGACCTGGCTTCAGAATCCTCTCGGTCAATATGAATTACTGCAACAACAAGAACTGGTGGCTGCTCATCAACAGTACCGACCCGGTCAGCGAACTGCAGTGGCTCGTGTACGAGCTGCAAGGTGCGGAGATCAATGGTGAGAAGGTGCACATCATCGGTCATATCCCGCCCGGCCACTCAGATTGTCTCAAAGTATGGTCAAGGAATTACTACCATATCATCAACCGGTTAGTACCAGATCGGAATCACGAATTTCGTCAATTCTTAACAGAGCCTTGCAATCAAGGCCAATACTGTTCGATCTAGCTCGATTTATTATGAAATATAATTTAACCTGATCTATCCGCTTTGGTAAAGTCAGATCTGAGTCTGACTCGGATCATTTTGTTGACAAAAAACTAATCCGGGCTAGTCTTTCAAATCGAACTGAATTGCGCCATTATTGAGCCTTGATTTGCAAGACTTAATTCTTAAAGACAAACAAGCAGACCACTCTGATGTACGACTAACCAACATCTCCTCTCTGTTCCCGTTTAGCTACGAATCGACCATCGTGGCCCAGTTCTTCGGACACACGCACTACGACGAGTTCCAGTTATTCTACGACACGTCGGACTTGGGTAGAGCGCTCAGTATTGCCTACGTCGGGCCTTCAGTCTCGCCTTACTACGATCTTAACCCCGGCTACAGGATATATTACGTGGATGGCGATCATCCGAAGACCACAAGGATGGTAGTCGACCATGAAACCTGGGTCATGAATCTCAAGGAGGCGAATCTGTACGACTATCCAATCTGGCACAAGATGTATAGCGCGCGGCAGGCCTATCAAATGTCGTCACTCTTGCCGAAGGATTGGGACTCCCTGATTGACAAGATGACCAATGAGCCGGCCCTCTTCGATCTCTATTACAAGTAATTTGTTCAACATTTGCATTACGTAAGGTCGTCATTTCACGAAGAAACGCGATTAGAATCCTCTCGTCGTGTCGCGACGCCAACTTTTTATTTACACAACGATTGAATATTACATTTAATTAATTAAAACAACATAAAGCAGGTGAAAGGCATGTATTTAAAAAAACGCATTGCTTCGTTGTGGTTTTAGGAGAGAAAGTCCAACCGAGATTACTCGTTCAAACGTAGTTCGTAATTTCATAAAGAAACGTTATCAGAATTCTCATCGAGTCGCGACGCGTGTTTACCCACAATGATTAATTACCGGATTTAATGAATTGAAACAGTATTGAAAAAATAGAAAATATTTATTTAAAAAAAACATGTTACTTAAAGTGTTTAGGAAGGAAACGATAAGTTACTCTTTTGAATAGCTCAATGTGTTTACTTCTAATTTTCACAGGCACTATTATAAGAATTCGCCGGTGAGACCGGCGTGTAATGATGAATGTCGTAAAAGGCTGTTGTGCGATCTGCGCAGCGGAAGAAGCCACGATCGGAAGGCTCTGTGCCAGAGCCTGGAATCGCGGATCGACGTCGAAACGAGGACGGGTTGGCGCGCGTGGATCTATAAGGGGCTCGCATTATCGTACGTAAAGGATATGTGGTATCAAATGTATTCCGGCAATATTGCGACTAACGAAGTTGACTAACTCGGGATGGACAGACAAATGGTCGCACGATCGTTGCGATTCCAAATTTCCTTCCTCTTTCCTTATTTTCTGAAAAAGACTCGCAGGTCTCCGAAGCGCGATACGTTCGTAGCGACGCATGCACAATTGGCAGAGATCTGTTTTGTACACTTTGCAGACGATAATTATATTCGCGGTAATCTCTTTGAAGCGCACGTAAAAGATGGTGGAAATTACGAGAAGATATGTCTCGTCGACTCACAATAATACGAAAACGTTTTAACTCCCTGATCGCGTCTAAAAGCAACTAATGATTAGTCTAATAAGTGTCTGATAAGAGTTACCTGAATTGTTGCAATCGCAAATGTAGTTAGTAGTAAGCACAATAACTCCGCTTGATTGCGGCACGAGATATCGGCTCAATTAGCTCACAGAAAAAATACTAATAATCTGTAATAGTTATTAATAGGTAACAGGTCGTAACTTGATATACAGACTGATCGATTGATATGTATATTAATATCTACGTATATTAGTTATTACATCGAATTTTAATGCATATATTAATGACGTATCGAGAATACACGCTCGTCATTTACGTGACAGCCATATTTTTATAATATAAGGCGACCATATGTAATTTCTCAATATCGTTGTTTTTTCTTAACACGAAGATATTGAGATTTTTATCGGTAGGAATTAAGTGTTATTTCGTACAATTCGTTTAGTTTAGTTTGTTCTAGATAACTTGTATTTATGCGTGTTTGTGCTGAACAAGCGTAAAGACATTGGTTCGGTAATTTCTAACTCGACTAGTGTTAACGAAGCAATAGTAGCTGAACGGTAATAAAATATTACTACTACGAAGCAATATTGCTCATAATATCAAATGTTATATCGTAAAATTTTCGAAAGAAAAATTTAGTCAGTCGTGTGCCAATATTTATCAAATCGGTAAATCGGAAAATGATCCTCTTAAGCAAAACTGTTTTCATCTGCACTTATATTAATATTCGTTGTGAGAAATTTTAATAATTATATCCCCCAGTCACGTATTTTTTCTTTCATTAAATTAATTCATATTCTTATTTCGTCTTCAGACTAACGTGAACCAAAATATGCTTTCGTTTTTTTTCAGTTGATTAATTAACATACTATGTAGAGCTAAGTTTCTTAAAATTTAAAGGGAGACGTAAATTTAATAACAAATTTAACAAAAGTTGATTTTTTATCTTAAGCTTCAGTAGTTAGCCCAAAGAAGTCTAACACGCGAATGTCGACCGACTGCATTTAGTAGTATCTAAGCATCTATTGATATATCGCTTTACTTAGACTGCATGCGTGCGTGTTGTACACATCGTTCAAGCGAGCTATCCGTGCTTGATGAAAGAATTATGCGTGCGAGTGACCGTGTAACATCTGCATGAGAAAAAGAGAGAGGCAAAAAAAGAAAGAGACAGAAATCCAAAGTACTAATTCTTTCTTTAACGGTGAACAATAATGAAGTTGTCCGATTCTTCGTGTGTTTCAGAGGTTTCTTCGCGAAACATGTCGCGTTCTGATTCGCTTGCAGACAACGCGAACTTCCGCGAGTGTTGTATTCGTATCGAAACAAAGATAAAAACACAAAATTGTGCGCACGTCATGAATAAAATCATAATACCTTATCTTAACGATATACATACGCGCACACATATGTATATTCTTGTAAATACGTTCTTTCTTAACAGTCTTTTTTCAATAAAAAATGTAAACAGAAGGAAACGGTGTTGGGGCTTTCGAGTCACTGACGCGATGCGTCCAATTGTTCACGCTGCAAATATTTTATATATAATACACATAATTAGTTTGCTGTAAAAATATTTCTTAATGCTTCAGCTGATTTTTCAGCAAACGCGTCACCAGCACATCGTAATTAATTGACTACATCGTCGCTGCTTCGCGACAGCGCGCGAGAACACACTTAGCTTTCCTGACTTATGAATCTAATTCAAAGAGGAGCGGCGTTTCAGCAGTGGTTTCACCTCGCCGGAAGGCGTCAATATAATTTGTACATGCTTAAACAAAGTCTGTAATCGGTAACCTTGTTTGGTGGCGGAGCGTAACACGGTGGTTGAGATTTCTATCGTCGTACACTGCGCATCGGTAGTAAGTAGCACGAGTGCAAGTTTGTAAGCTGACTTTATATGCACGCGCACTTGAACCAGCCGTATAAATTTTGCGGGTCGTGGTAGTTTGAAACACTTCGCGCGAGGAGCATTTAATATCTACACTAACGGAATTGTCCAACATTGAATCTGAAAACCGGGCAAGTTATTCTTAAGCGCGTGAAACTTAATTATTATATGAATATATGTATGTATATTGTATGAAATATGTACTAAAAATATCTACGAAGAATTGCCGAAGTAGTCGATGAAATGATTTGATACGTATCGATTTATATCGAGTAATTTCGCGCAGTAAAAAATCGTGGTAAAGAAAAGTAAAGACATTAAAATTAGTAGAATACAATTTGTACGGCTGGTACAAATGAGACACTATCTTAGTTGCCAAATCAGCGACAATGTGATAGCCTGCACGGCTGACCGAGTTTGAACCGCTTTGCGCATTACTATTTATCAGGTGTTAGATTAAAATTTATTTTTGGCCCATCGTTATCTAAGTAAAAATGTAAAAAATTCAGTTGTCGCAACTGACTGCTGCGTCATCCGAGAGAAGGAAAATGAAGAAGATATCTCACACGATAAGATTTTCATTTTCGCTCGTTGAAGGAGACGCAAGAGTTTTGTCATTATATTTCTTTTTATGGTCTGTTAAATTTGGCAGCCAAGATAGCAGCACTTGCTATCAGCAGACATTGGATGTCGTCGTAATTGGATCTTTTTGGATTTGCAGGATGTCCGTAGTGATGGCCATCCCCAGGTTCGCGTACAATCTACCAAAGTACGTTCTAGGACTGGGTTAGAACGCGGAAACAGCTATGCCGTCAAGCGCAAATGTGTGACTCAACTTGTGATGTTAAATTATTTAAATGCTCGCGTCGTCGCAACGCTCGAAACGCGCGAGCCTCAATGTCGTTGACGACCGACGATTGCATTCGTCGGAACTGATTGTCGCGTGTTCGCGACTTGTAGAATCTAACGCGTATCTAATCTCCCAAAACGGGAAAGAAACGATTCTCCCAGTAAACTCAAACTATCAGTAACATGACATATAATCAATGTTATAATTTACCACTCAGCAATGTAAATGCGATGTAACACGTGTGTTTAACTTAACAGTTACAATGATTGCATTCAGCAGAACAAACTGCTTTGCTACTATAAAATTCATGAATCTAATTGAACTGTGTTCTTAAATTCAACCAAGATTAAGAACATACATCAATCAGATCTACGAATTTTATAATAATTGCAAAGCAGCTTTCTCTGTTGAACGCAGTCAATATTACTGTTAGTTGGTGTTTACTGGGCTGTGATGAGCGAATGATAGGATGGTTAGGATAGATATTAAGTGGCCGATCAGACTTGTATTAGTTAATCTGTCTTTTATCGGTCACTCCCTAATCAGTAAACGTAATAACTTTTTATTTTTGATAAAATATAGATCAGATATAAAAATCTGAGAAAATATCGAATAAGAATAAGGATACGTCGCGATACCTTCGTTACATTATGTGTGACGTTACAGAGACGATTTTTACTCGCGCGTTTGTGTAAGATATGTAAATATAAACAATTATAATCGCGCGAGTCGACGTGAGTAATAAAATTTGTTTCTCTCATGTTAATGTTGACGAGTGATCGATTGATTATTAATCAACAGCACGTATTTGAATGCGAAGTCCTTCCGTTTAATGTACGCGCGTTCGATACTCATAACTCGCATTTTTATTATATTGTAGTATATCAATAATCTCAACTGATTATTTGACGGACAATATTGAATATTCAATATAAAACAAGCATTAAATGCGGGCTACAATCATGAATCTCATGATCTCTACGGTGAATTATACAAAATACAGTAAAACGTATTAGAACACGAATTATCGCATTTCGAAAAAAGTGAATACATTCCCTGTGTTCCTAAACTTTGACTAATTCACGGCCTAGTCCGAAATACAAACTGATTATCGTTAATGACTACTCGTTAGTGTAACAGCGTGCAATTCATTATCAAAGTTGAAATTAAAAGAAAAAAAGACGCTGAATTAAGTTGTTAAAATCCAATTGTAAATTGTAATAATTTTTGTTACAATTTGCAATTGTTGGATTTTAACAACTTAATTCAGAACGAAGAATATTCGCAAAAATAGCTTACCACTGATGATACACATTCTAAAAAGTCAAAAGATATACAATTAATATAAATAGAATTACAGAAATAAAATCACATATTAGCGAACCTTCTGTACATGTATTAAAAGAAAAATAATCTCATTTATTCACAAGTGGTTGCGTTCGAACAGACATTGTTATTCTATAGTAAACATATTTTGATATATTTAGCATTAATCTGTTTTCTCTTCCCACTCATTTAGCCCATCGTTGAGCCGTAGCGTTCAAAAATAAGAAGTATCACTGATTCGTTGTTGAGCCATGATAATAAAATGTCTGATCTGCCGTTGAGTCGTACTACGTCTTCAATTTTTCCATTAAGGATGGTGGCGCCTCGTAACGGAGACGTGTGTACTTTAGTTTGGAACACAGATGTCTATACTAAACAAGATTGCTAACAAGGGGTGCTTTCCAATTGTTTAACACATCTTGACACATATGTACACAAAAATGCACAAAGTGTAACGTTGTGCACAATTCAATTGGAACAAAGTGTGTATTAACATGTACGTATGTCGGGTAGGATTAGGATTATTTTTCAACTGTGCTTATATTTTGGTACTTTTTATAGTAAATAATAAAATCTAAATATTAAAAAAGATATCCACTTTACGTCGCAAATGCCAGTCTCTTTTCAAGCCGCTACGCTTATTAACTTTAATTGTCACTAGAAAACACTAGTTTACACAGCCGACTAATAGCCCTCGAGCTGAGTACGGATGTGTAGTGTTGTGTCGACGATTACGACAATTGGAATGCAACTTGTGTCGCCGTATGCATGAAAGCGTCTAGGGATATTGTAATTGGAAAGCACCCAAGGATTTCGAACGTGTGTCGCATAAGGACCAACGCACGTACATTGCCGTAGAGTCACTATAAGAAGGAGTCGGGAGCGGTGCAATTGGACACGGTGCATTTGGACACAGCCAATCATGTGATTAGAGACATTTGTAGGGTCCCTTGGAACAGCGACTTGTGATTAGACTGTGTCCAATTGCCCCGTGTCCAACTGATATACACCCGAAGGAGTCTAGCCAATTGGGGCAGAATTTTCATTGGCTCCAGGCAGTTTTGAAGCAAAATGGCGAAACCAATCACATTTCCATTTCGAGTAGCATAAGAGCGCGATTATTCAATTTGAGAACGGGCATTCTCTTTGTATAATGAAGTATTGCAGGTTTACATAATGAATAAGACGGGTCACAAATAGATTTTAAAGGTAGAAAATGGGTACAAATTGATGATAAGTTTTTAATATTAATTAATATTTATTGTTGTACAATTTTATAATAATGATGTTACAATTATATTTAATATTATATGTTATATTATATGTTATATTATATTATGTTGTATTATATGTTATGTTATATTATATGTTATATTTATTATTATATGTTATATTTATTATTATATGTTATATTTTTTATTTAATTTTCCATAAGTATAAATCATACAGTATCATACTATACACACTTACCTGTTTACAATTACGACATAATCTGTCATCGATCTGGGGTCCGATTCTTGACGATGTGCGAACGAGATATGCATGTGAAAATCTATAGTATACGTAACGTGAACTATACATTTTCGCATGCGTATCTCATTCGCATACCGTCAAGAATCGAACCCCTGGGGGTCGATTGTGTATCTCGAAACGAAGTGAAAATTACAAAAGTAAGCAAATTCACTAGGGTTTGACCAATGAAGTTACAAATATTCTAGTAAATTTGCTTATTTTTGTTATTTTCACTCCGTTTTGAGATACACAATCGATCCCCTGTATTGTCTAACAAATGTAGGCAGCATGAATCAGTTTCAATAGACAACCAATTAGAATCGTGCTATACTTATAGTTCATCGACGCCATTTTGCTTCAAAACTAGACATTGTCCAGATTCTTGTTTATAGGGACTCTATATTGCAGTAGTTTCTCACGCCACCTTATGTGACAATTTTACGTTACATGAGACGTAAGCTGAACGTACGCAACGCACGAAACGTTACGTTACGTTACGAAAGAATATATATATTCTTTCGTAACGTAATGTAACGTTTTCGTGCGTTGCCGTACGCAGCTTACGTCTCATGTAACGTAAGGTTATCACGTAAGATGGCGTAAGGAACTACGACAATGTTCGTGCGCTGGCCCTAAGGATTCCGATTGCATACGAGAAAATGGCGGCAGTCCTGTGTGTGACGTGTCACTTGTGTGAGTATTTACACGTCAAGTGAGTCAGCATGGCTATTAAATTACTGTCGTAAAACTAAAAATGCTAGCATCTTATTGCATAAAAAAATGTTGTAACAAAATAGATGGTATTGGATGTTATTTGCTCTGCTTATTTTCAATAAAAGAATTGTATAATTAAATGTAGTGAAAATATGTGGCAGTAGCGGCCATTTTCTCGCATACACCGGAAACTATCGGACACAAGCCATTATATGCTTTTAGATAGCCTGTTAGCAGTCTAGTTTAGTATAGACATCTGTAGTTTGGAATAATAGTTCAAATAAAATTTCTCTCAATAAATGGCTACAGGCGTATATAAGATGATTCTCCTAATGCCAATATCCAGTAATGAAATTTAAGAATAATTAAAGAACAATTGATATAGTAATCGAACGAATTTGAAAACGTTGAGAAGAAAATCGATTCTTTTATAAAAAGTGTCGATTCACTAGTCGATTATTGTCAAACTCTAATTTTATATACGCCGATCGCTGGGTATTGTGCTTTTTAATATCAATTTTGTGCTCTACTTCATTAATTATCTCAGTAATTAAATACAAAAGACGTTATAAAATGCATTTCTTGCTATATACGCTTCTATTTTCAGCCTTCGCTGTGGTGAGTAAAAACATAACCTCTACGTATAACAAACTATAATCATACTTTTAGACTTAGTTTAAAATAATATATATTTTCACTATACATTCAGAAATCACATATAATTATATTGACGTATAAAATATAAGTTTAAGAAATAAATAATTTATCAAAATACTATTGTGAAATGATGACACTATAATGTTGCACATTACAGGTGAGCAATGTAATAGCAGAGTTTTCTGCAGACGACTGCAAAATGTTAGGGTTTAACAAAGCCAATTTACTCTGCTCGACCTGTGAACACTTCACCGAACCCAATCTGGCAAAGATACTGTATGTAAACATAAATTTAATGAAAGGTTTTTCTTTTTTTTTTGGAATATTCAAAACTTAAGCTTACAGAAATTTTCCTTTATTTCTTCTTTGCAATAGTGCTACATGTAAGGAATGTTGTTTGAAAGATAACGATTACGACTTGTCCGGATCGAAACGCTATCCTAAGGCTGTTCTCGAGGTGTGCACATGTAAATTTGGTGCATATCCACAGATACAAGGTATATATTTAAACTGACAATTATCTTTGACAACTCGAAAATTGCTTGATACAACGTTGTTACATACAACACTAATAAATTTTCTTCTAGCTTTCATCAAAAGTGACAGACCAAAGAAATATAAGAACCTTAGTATAAAGTATGTAAGAGGTTTAGATCCGATCATTAAGTTGTACGATGCAGAAAATAGAGTTGAAGATATACTGGATATACACAAGTGGGACACAGATTCTGTAGATGAATTTCTGTCAACTCATCTTTCTAGGGATTAGTAAAGTTAAGGAATACACTATTGATACATAATCTTTTTCTATTGAATTATTAATATATGAATGAATGAATGAATAAATGTATGTTTGTATGTATGTATGTATGTATGTATATATATCCCAAGTCACATTGTACTCATTTGGCTAATTTTTTAATTATCACTTTATCACACACACATCACGTTGAACCTAAACCTAAACATATAGTATCATGTTTAATGTTTTTCAGAGGCTTCTGGTTAGTAATTTATTTCATGCTATGAAATAGAATACAAAAAGATCCTTCTCTGAGGAAAATATCTTATTTCTAAATGATAAGAATACAGTCCAATTGATCTTTTTTGTCTGTATACAAAAACCCTCCATTCATTACATTACTAAAATTATCACACGAGATTATGTTGAAATTATAAAACTGGAAATGTATAACATTACATATACATATGCTTTTTTTTTAAAGCATCACCAGTTTCATATGTATTCCGATATATAAACGACGAAATACGTAAACCAACATGAAATGATGTCTGTATAGTTTGAAAGATTGGAACATTGATGATTTCCTTCCTGCAATTGCACACTCTGGAGGAAGCACTCTCAACGAGCTCGCGAGTGTATACAGTATGATTTTTCTCTAACTGTCTAACATATCAAAGAATGATATATCCATAAGATTATTCGTATCACTATATAAAGAATAAAGTGACAGTCATCTAAATCTGACGTCACATACACAGACAGCTACAACACCCTTAACATTTACCATAGGCATAAAGTTATCAGAATTTTTCAACCATTATGTCTACATATTTATACACCATAACTGTTGATTATTCGATGAAGCGCAAGAATATATATCACATATTATTCCTTTTTTATTTATAATTTCTGTTTTGCATTACATTAAATATATATATATATATATATATATATATATATATGTGTGTGTGTGTGTGTGTATACATATATACATACATACACACACTTGTAAATATATATACTTTATATATATACTTTATATATATATAAATATTTATATATATATAAATATTTTATATATATACTTTATATATATATAAATATTTATATATATATAAATATTTTATATATATACTTTATATATATATATATATATATATATGCTTGTAAATATTTATAATTTCGACATTTTCTAAGGTGATTTTTTGTGATCATTTGGCCAAAATATATCCGAGAGATATCTAGATATTTTTGGGACACCTCTAGAATGTATTTTAAACATTTATGCTGTATAGATATTTAGTAAATACATTAAATTTTTAGTGTAAACTAGCCCAAAGACAATCTGGTACATGTATTAAACGATCGCCAAAAATCACCTTTAATTATCATTTTAAATATTTGAAATATCGTCGCTCTTTTTTTTTATTTTTATAACAGCAACAGTAATGATGTTCAAATATATCGCATACGTGTGACACAAAAAATCCTAGTGTGCACTTGGTTTAAATATTTTTTTTCCTCCATGCAGTTTGGAATATAGTCGATGTCTAATGAGAAAACAATCTTCGGGATTTATACGAAGACAAATTCTCTAATTGGACACTGGCTGCGCGCCAAACTGCATGGAAAAAATATTTAAACTATATTGAAACCAAGTGAAATACTAGATGTTAAGGCTATTGTGGTGATCTGTGTACGATTATATTGCATCTTTGCATAATTATATTCGTGCTTAGATTTCGATTTCAATCAATATACCCGCTTACACGCCACATGCATTATATTCTGATCCTACATTTTAGTACCACATACGCAACTGCGCACATGCGTTCTCCAAAAGTAAATCTGCAATCATATATATCCGATAGCTTTCTGCGTGAATTAGCGCCATAAAGGTGTCAATGGTAATCATTAATCCGTTGCCTTATAATTTTTTTCTCTTAAATGCGTGCCAGAGAGTTGACCATTGCACAATATATAAATGTATATAAGCGCAATAATGATTTTGATATGCGCTAAGGTTCGGTTGCACTAACGTTATTTTGGTTTTAAGCGAGACTTAAATATGTCTATCTTTATTTATTTAGAAAGAAAGATAAAGATAGATATATGTTTAAATTTCGCTTAAAGCCAAAATAATGTTGGTGCAACCAGGCCTAAGACATATGAAAATGAATACATTTATATAAATGTAATTTGTTTATGCATACGTTTCACTTAGATTATAATCTACGACACAAGTCTCTGGCTCGTTATTATAAGGTAACGAATTAAAATATAAGGAAAGTAACGATAACTAAGAGTATAGTCTAGACTCTTATAAGCCCATTCTACAATGCTAGTAAGTAGTAACAGTAAGAAATTTACCAATCATGATTGATTATTTTTCTCACATTCGACTGTGATTGGTCAATTTCTTACTTTTATTACTTCTTACTACTTACTACTATTGTAGAAGTGGGCTTAAGGTGACCTCGATGACATCTTATTTTTTTCTTTGTGTTTTTTTTTTGTTATATGATACGAGTAAGATAGGTCGCTTATAAGTTAAAGTTTATGCTACACATGTAATCCACGTGAATATAATATACCATATATAATATTACACGTGTCTAAATATATTTCGATAATAGAAATATTCGCATGCTCTATATGTATTTTGCGTTATCATTAGGACTTGTAGCAGCGCGGAAAATGTCCATCTAGCTTTTACCGGCTCTGACGCATTTTCCCCGCCTCTTCATACTTTCGTGCTTTTGCAGAACGGACCATGTCAATTTATCGTCGAGATCTCCTGGCACGCGGGCCGCCGCGACCGCGTATATACCCGCGTCCTCGGGACATCTTTACCGGATTGAGATTACGTTCAATCTTCTGCACGGACTTCTGATCTGTGTGATCTTTCTCATCTGTCTCGTCGATCAGATTACCCATTTCGGCATCGTTGTCGTTATCTGCGTCTGCCCACATCTCGTCGATCGGCGCTTTTTTCTCTTGTCCGTTGGAAGTGTTTTGCGTTGTTTCATTTACGTCCGGTTCTGCTTCGCGATTTACCTCGTCATCCTCAGATTCAGCATCAGCTTCCAACGGGTCGTACTTCTCCTCTCCATCAGACTTCTTCGGCGTGCTCGCGTTATCTGTAGTGCTTTCTTGCGGCTCCTTTGGCTTGTCGTTATTCTCATCCTCCTCATGGGAAGTCCTGCGACGTTTCCAATTTCTGTCGTATTCCTCCGATGCTTGGGCGGTATTTTTCTCACTCTACGAGCAAAAATACAATTTTAACAAATTTTGAAAATGAATTTCTTCTACTGTGATGTTACTCTCTCTCATGGCACTTACCTCACTTTGTTCGGTTTCCTTCGACTCTGCAGCCGCAGCGTTTGACGTTAACGATTTCACATCCGCCAAGAAATTTCGATAGTGAGTGATACTGCGTAGGTGAGCATTCATATCGTCCGCCAAAAGCATAAACCGCCGGCAACGCTCGCAGTAAAAACCTTGCACTTCCTTGATCATCGATTTACCTAAGTAAAACATAATAATTATTATTAAAAATAATACTCATACAAATATACACGATATATTTTTACGTATTAAAAATAATTATTTTGCAGTACGTACCAACACCTATCTGCTTCTGACGGCAATACTTATAAGACGGAATCTTGAATTTAGTTTCATTCATATTTTCTGTGATATCCGTGATATATTCTTGTTCTGCGGCATCATCTTCCTTCTCATTCTTCGTATCATGCCAAACATCTTTCTCCTCGTCTTCTGCGCTGCGGACTTCAGCTTCTCCTTTCGCCAATTTTTCTGTAAAATGTTATTTTTGTCAGTTTCTTCCTTTTTTCTAAAAATTAGTCCATTCTCTTTATCATTCCACAATTACCTTTCTTCTTGTTTTTCCGTTGCTCTTCACACTGAACAGCATTCTTCATGTGAGCGGGTGTTAAACAGTGCTCGTCGTATTCGATGCGAGATGGAAATTCTTTCAAACAAGGGAAACATCGAGGGTGCAAGAAGGTCTTTAGCTGTTGATGTTTCTCACTCTTTCTGTGTGTAGACAGAGTCCCGTAGAAGTTCAAGTCGCACATCGTACAGTACTCCCTAACGTTAAAGTCTACGGAGACCTGCGATCGAAAATTCGTAAATACACGTATACACTCTCGAGCACATCTCTCTCTTCGGATCTTCTACAGAAAAATATAGATCTTACTTTTTTGCCACGTCGTTTCGAGTTATTCAAGCTGAGTTCGCGTTGCTCCTCGGCAACACGTAGTTCGTGTCGCATCAGGTCGACCTTGAGTTTGTAAGATTCGTCCAACTTCTCCATCATCAGTTGATGTGCGCGTCCGCGCAAATGATTCTCAAAGGACTGTGAAAGACATGATGATAATTGATTGTTCTTACGAATATCCATAGAAACTTGTTCATCGCGCCAATACATACATATCCGTCCCACATATGCTTGTTGCAGATGTGACAAAACATGTGGCTCATCGGAACTTCGGCGTAACGACTCTCGGCGTGTCTAGCCTCCGATTTCTTGCCGGTTGTTTTCCCGTCTTTCTCGGTCGCAGACGTGTTTGCCTCTTTCGGTGTCTCTTCCGTAGCGGACTTTTCCATGCTCACATCAGCATCCGCTGTTTTTTCACTTTCATCCACTTTCATCATAACTTCCTCCGTATCCTTCTCATCCTTCCACTCGCGTTTCTTATCCTCGGTTTCCTCCACGTCCTCACTACATCACAAATAATATACTCTAGGATAAAGTTACATTAACATTCCGGGGCTAATTTCGTAATCGGTCCCAACAGCTGATCACATTTACTTTAAATTTGTTATCAGATTTTAATTTACCGATTTAATCACGAATCTAATTGTATACAATAGACTAAACAGTTTACAATGTTCACGTACACGAGAAATCATGTCGATAACAATGACGAAAATTGGATTGATGCTTGTATAGAAGCACTTTTAGGAGGATACGATTCTGTACATTCTTTTAGGGACGTACAGACAACAAACAGTGTTCTCGCCGATTGGCACGAAAACGTATAGGATGAGGAAATTACGAAAAAAATCAATTAGTCGGAACAGAAATTTATTTAGCATCCTAGCCAACGTCTGGTAGTTTCTGGGCGTGAAATGTGAGAATCGAATCGCATCAACAGTACAGGAAAAAGAGAGTGCATCGTAATAAATTGAAAAGTACGGATAAGAGAGAAATTTCCTCCGAGAGACTTGCGGTATATGCTATAATGTGCGCGATATATGTGTAATTACGTTAAAGATACACGTATGTAAAACATATTTATGTGTACACATACGTATATATACGTGTGTATGTGTATATGCATGTACATATATATATATACAATAGACAAAATAGTAGCTCGGAGAGAATGAAATTTGAAGAAACTATTAATCACCGATCACAGATAATCGGCGGCTTACCTTTTCGGAACAGGCGGCTCTGCTTTTTCGCTATCAGAGGTCTTAACGTCCTGCTGTTCCTTTTTGGCAGTCTGATTTTGTTTAGAGGCAGGAATTGGTTTAGAAGACTTATCGTTGCGATGTTGGATTTGGTTTCCGTTCATACGTTGACTGCCGGACTGGGGTGCACGAGATTGTTGTGCGGACGGACCACGTCGCCCAGCAGGGCCGTCTCGGGCGCGATTGCCCATCTAGTCAGTCGATTGATCGGTCAAATGACCAAAAGCATCATGAGAGAAGTATTTGACGTAACTGTGATTCTTCTCAAATCGAGATTGGTTCTACAGAAAACCACTTGGGATTTGAGGGAGAAAACAGTTGTAGTCGATAACGGAAACAGGACATATTTGCCGGTGTGAGACGTACTGCACGTAGGTCTTTCCCATTCACTGCATCACAGATGCAGTAGGGACAACCGGTGCGGGGGAGAGGGGGGAGGAAACCGTGGTAGAGCGTGCATCCCGATCTCGAGTCGAAGATGCACATCGTGTGTGTACGCAACGGCAACGATCAAATAGGGCTCGGTCATAGTTTTGTAAAAGCAGACGTAATTAAATCCACTACAAAATACTTGAGCAAAAGTCATATTAATCAACGTGAAGAAGATGCTAAATCAAGTGAAATCTGCAACTCTTGTTTGCGTACATAAACAATAGTAGTAGTTGTGGTTTTGAATAAAGTGCAACCGTATCCGGTTTTAATGGTCGTGTACAAATTGGCGGAAGACAGAAGACTCGGGTTTTATGGAATGTAAGACGAGTTGCAATGTCAGTTTCACACTCGCTCCGCGCGAAAGAACCACCGACGAGCTTCTGGTAGTAAAAAAAATTGAGAATTACTCTTTCTGAAATCAACATATGTGTTTCAGCAGTGCAGTTTTTTTTTTTCTTTTTTTAGTGAAATACATTAACTCCGGGCGATATCTAGTGCTCCTAGCGAGGAGTCGTCTCAGATACAAGGTTGATCCATCAACAAGAATTATTTATCTTAATGATTTCGCTGGTTGTGTCTAATCGAATGAACGATATAATCCCATTTAATCGATCGATTGTTGGTAGTCACGAGAAGAGAAATTCGTAAACATTCAGAATAGTTTTAAGAAATAGTTTGCGTCCAAGCGAGACAGCCTAGATCGTAGACTGTTATTTTACAACTCCTGTTGACGATACAGGGGAAGATTGTAAAGAAAACGTGTTAAGAGATGTGTTTTTTTATAATGCCTGCTTGGGAAGAATACAATCGTATTGTGCGAGGCTAACTTACCTTGTTGTATGGCTGCTGACGTTGATTTTTCAGATTATGTCGCGCCGGTCGATCATTAAACCGTCCCGAGGAAAAGCTCTGTTGATTAGAATAGTTCGGTCCTGGTCCGGAAAAATTATTTCCAAGGCTCATGAGAGATGGTACCTGTTTGAACATATAATAACGTTAAAGAAGAATTAAAGTAAGTCATATATATGTGTGTGTGGGGGGAGGGTGAGAGAGAGAGAGAGAGAGAGAATATGTGTGTGTGGGGGGAGGGTGAGAGAGAGAGAGAGAGAGAGAGAGAGAGAGAGAGTGTGTGTGTGTGTGTGTAAATAGAGATAAATATAAATAGAGCTTCGAAGAAAATATATTTCTGGATATGTGAATACATTTATAGGTATCCATAGATACACACCATATTCTCTTCAAAGCTATATTTAGCTACTTGGCCATATTTGATTTTACATTTGAAAAAATATGAATAGAGCTGGATTTTATATTTGAGGAAATATGAATAAAGTTTTGAAGAAAATATATTTATGGATACATGAATACATTTATATAGAAATATTCTTAGATGCATTCTCTTCAAAACTATATTTAGTTATCAGTCCATTTATCTATATTTGATTCTACATTTGAAGAAGATATATCTATAGATATCTATAGACATATGTATAGATATATTTCCTTTCAAGTTATATTTATTTGTCTATCTATTTCTCTCTCATATTTGATTCTCATATTTGATTCTATATTTATATTTCTCGATTTTTCTATATTTATCTATATATTTAACTATATAATTTATCCCCACAGATAATACTTTCAAAGTTATATTTATTCATCAATTTTTTCACCTATTTATTAATCTATGTTTGATTTTATACATACTTAATATATCTATAGGTATATTTTCTTCAAAGCTATATTTACACATGACATAGATAATTACACATATTACATATATATATTGGTATAATAACACATAATATTGGTAAAATAGATAAATAAATATAGCTTTGAAGAAAATATATCCTTATACCTGAGGTTGCACTTCCTGCTGGCTACGGAGTAAGTTTGTTAGGAGATTGCTGGCAATCGCTAGCTGTGCTTGTGGTGACGCCAAAGAGAGATTGTTGTTCGGTGTAGGTAGGATACCTCTGCCAGGCATCATACCACTTTCCCAAGGATTCATGCCGCCCATACCACTCCCGCTCATCCCTCCGCCCATATTATTTCCCATGCCGCTGTTGCACATATTATTGAGTCGGTTGTTGTTGCCGCCACCGCCACCGCCACCGCCACTATTGCCCCGATTGAAATTCCCCCGATTTCCGAAGGAATCTCTCTTCACTCCACGATTAAACGACATCGTGCCTGTAATATTTTACGTAAAGGCAGAAAAGAAAATACCGGAGATACAGTAACAGATCATCTATATATACATGGTGCAATTATATTATCTTGCGCGAAGTTTCCGCCAGAGTAACGTGGCGGGTAATGCTGTTTGAGAAATCTTGAGGATTTCGAATCAGTCCTAGCGCTTAGACTTATGATATTTACGAAACGTATATTTATGAATCTTATACATTTATAGAATACTTATGATATTTACGAAACGTAATACCGAATAGATATTAGCTGTATTCAATAGAGAAAACTGCTTTACAACTGTTGTGAAATGCGTGAAGCTGTGATTGAGATATGCTCTTAATCTTGGCTATATTTAAGAGTATATATCAATCAGATTCATGAATTTTACAATTACAAAGTAGCTTTCTCTATTAGACGCAGCCATTTCGATTTAACGTATATAACAGGAAAAGATTCGAGCTTGCTTACCAAGATGATAACGCTGACCACAATACAAGCGAAGCAGATATATAACTCTTTTTTCTTCTTTTTTATACTTATGACCTAGAATTTCTATTCCTTTGGCCACATACAGTCTTAATTGTAAATATTATTCACAGACCTAAAACTTGAGAAAATGAACGCAAGCAAACTGCAAATGGCGACAGAACGGTCGATCACCATAAAATATGCGATTCAGTAAGAAAGGTAACTTCTACTTTTTATTAAGCCAGTGGCACATGGTGCTTGTTTTCATGTTGGAGTACTATTCCGTTCCTGCATACCGACAGTTGTCGAATCGGTAGGCGTCCTTGCGCAGCTTTTTTATATCATAGAAAAATTGCACAACGCACCTACTGATCCGATAACTATCGGAACCATGGTAACGGAATAGCAGCCCTGAGTTGCGTTCCAAAACTCTATTCGACGGGTAGAATAGTGTTACGTCCACGATAGATAACTATATAGGGAAATTTGAAAGTAGTGAAATCGGTGACTACATGGACGGTCAACAGAGTGATGACTCCGCTTTTGGGTCACTCTGCTTTTTACCGAGTTTACCTTGGGTCTCCGGAGTCTGGCGAAACGATCGATGAATCTGGCGAAAAATCAGCGCGGCTCGTTCTCCTGGCTCAGTCTCGAATGTTCCGGCGCTGCGCGGGTTGATGCGGCCCGCGATTCCGAATTTCGATCTTGCAACGTTTGAAAAATGAAGGGTAGGCAAAAGTAATTGCAACACAGTTGGATTTTACGACTAATATTAAATGTACTTTACTCACCGAGTAGAATTTTGGAACGCAGCCAGGAATATCTCATCGGTGGTTTAAACTATCATTTAAATCGACTCTAAAAAGAACAGACCACTTTTCAGCTGCACTGCTGCACTAAGTGCAATAAAGAACAGACCTAATGTTTACTTTGATTAAGTGTCAAATATTTATACTGGAAATATTTATTTAAAATTGCTCAAAGTCTAATAAAAATGTATTTTTTGTAATGTAAGGAATAAAGGAATAATGGAAGACTAGACGTAACTTTATTATTTTAATAAAGATGTGGAAACACTCCAAGTTGTTTTACAGTAGATATGCAATACAAAGGAGAAATATTTTCTCCAGTAGTCACAAGACAGCAGGAGTAGTTTTGAAATCTACTGATATAGTTTCTGAAAATTCAGAACATGCACTTCCTAAGGAAACACGCGTGGTCATATGTGGAGGTGGAGTTATGGGAGGTGCTGTGGCGTATCATTTGTCGCTTATGGGATTAGGACCAGAGACTATTTTAGTAGAGAGTAGCAGGTACATATCCTTTATACGTATTATATTTTTTAATAAAATTATGATAAAAGTTAGTTTAGATTTCTATTATGTTTTTAGATTAGGAGGTGGAACAACATGGCATACATCAGGATTAGTAGGAGCTTTCAAACCCAGCCTAACTCAAGTCAAACTTGCTCAAGATAGTATTGCTCTGTATAAGGAATTGGAGAAGAAAGATCTTTCAACAGGCTGGAAACAATGTGGCAGCCTTTCATTGGCACGTACAAGAGACCGTATGACTTTGTTTAGACGAATGAAGGCACAATCTGTGTAAATATTTGATAGATGTGGTAAGCTATACATTATATCTAATATCAATAATAATTTTAATTTTATTAATATATCCAAGATCACATGATGTCGAGTGTCACTTAGTTTCACCAAAAGAAATTCAAGATTTATGCCCATTACTATATGTTGATGATCTTGTTGGAGGATTATGGATTCCAGAAGATGGTGTAGGTGATCCTTATCAGATTTGTTTAACTCTAGTTCAAGAGGCACAAGAAAGAGGTATATTTCTTCAAATTAAGAAATTTCCAAGTGAAACTAAATATGCAATGTTCTTTGTTACTTATCTTCTTCATTTCAGGTGTTCAAGTATATGAGAATTGTGCGGTTACAAAAGTTATTAACCAAAATGGTCGAATAGAAGCGGTAGAAACAACACATGGTACTGTTAAATGTAAACATTTTGTCAACTGTGCTGGATTCTGGGCACGGAATGTGGGTAAACTCAGTGAACCATATGTAAAGGTTAGTTTATGGAGAGATATTTATGAAAAACGTAGTTTGAGAATTTCGCAGAAGGATAATATACATTGTTTATCACTTTTTAGGTACCACTTCATCCAGTAGAACACTATTATATGCATACTAAACCTATTGCTAATTTAGATCCCATGACGCCTGTTATACGCGACTTGGATGGATATATCTATTTTCGAGAGAATAACGGACGCTTATTAGCTGGTGGTTTTGAACCGGTAGCAAAACCAGCGTTTGAAGATGGCGTGATTCCTGGTCAGATATATAGATGTAAATTTGTTTTCGTAACATTGTTAATTAACATCTGTCAAAGCGCAATTGTTTGTCTAATTTGTCGCAATTAACTGACAGCTTTGTTTGTACTGTGGTGCTGTATATCATAGATATATTTATTAATTAAATTTTCTGATCAAGAATTTCATTGGTATAATTTCAGAAAGCAAACACGAGCGATTTTTGCCGGAGGATTGGGATCACTTCCACATATTGCTGGAACAGATGTTGCATAGAATTCCGAGTTTAGGAAACGCGGTTCTGGAAAGACTCTGTAACGGGCCCGAGGCGTTCTCCCCGGATTGCAAGTGGATTGTAGGAGAGGCTCCAGAGATACGTAATTATTACATCGCAGCCGGAATGAAAACGGTTGGTAGGTCGATCGATCAGGCCGAGATTGAAGAAATATCTCGAGATTTTTCACTACAGATGATATCTCTTGAAGGTCGGGATATCCGCTGCCGGCGGAGTCGGTCGTGCCACGGCGGAATTAATAGTTAACGGCTCGACATCGTTAGACATGTACGAATTGGACGTCACGCGTTTCCTTGGGCTGCACAATAATCGCAAGTTCTTGCGCGATCGAGTGCGGGAGGTGCCCGGGATGCATTACGCGCTGCAATATCCGCATCACGAATTCAAGACCGGTAGGAACTTGAGGATGTCGCCGATCTATCCGAAACTTAGAGACGCGGGCGCTGTTTTTGGCCAAGTCATGGGCTACGAGAGACCATCCTGGTTTCAGCCGGACGACGACGGTAACTCTCGTAAATCACAATTTTTCTTTACTGTGCAAATGTTCGTTTACATCTATTGTAATCTATTGTAATATCAGTTGTATTGCGAAAAGAAAAGAAATATCGCAGTCAAACACATGCATCTACGCAAGTAACAGCGCATTGTAAGCTGTGCCGCACAATAAGTCAATAACAAAATAGAACGTTAGACAAGAGGTCAATATACATTTAATCTTCTTATTTTGGTTTTTGAATTCACTATAATTCCACAAGAGTGAATTTTCCCGTAGTTATCTAATTTGATCAGGTCAGGCAGTGATGAATCACCTTGTAGCAAAATATTCTCTTTCTCCTTCTCAATATCATCGAAAAAAGTGTTTTCACCGCTGCCATTATTTTATAATTTCTTTAGAATAGCAAAAATCATAAAACAAGATCAGACCAGCATCGTAGATCGTTACGATGAGCGTGTCAATCGATATAATGATAGATATAGATGGACTTTAAAATATATTTCTATATAATAATCGTATTTCTTATTAGATCTAGAGTTCCCCGATGGTTTCCAAAGGTATAAGATAGCATATACGAACACTTTCGGCAAGCCTCCTTGGTTCGACCAAGTTGCGCAAGAATATGCCGCTTGCAGAGAGGCGATCGGTCTCAGCGACTATTCCTCTTTCACGAAAATCGACTTATGGGTAATACGTTGTGAATGTATATTCGTCAAATATTATATTGCTAATTTACATCGATCACTTGATACCTCTGGTCAGTAACTAAACTTTAGTTAGTCCATTAAACTCTTTAATTAAACTTTCATCGTTTTACACGCATTATCGAATTAAAGATAATTTAATGTGAAGTTACTGATTAATATGCGTGTATCAGACGATTGATGTAAACAAGCACGTTGCGAAAAAAAATTATTAGACATTATGTATTTACTTTATATGACATCTCTATTTAGTCAAACGACACGGAAGTTGTGGATTTACTACAGTACTTGTGCTCCAATAATGTCGACGTACCTGTGGGGAGTATTATCCATACCGGCATGCAGAATCATCATGGGGGCTACGAAAATGATTGCAGTTTAGCACGGATCGCGCCAAATCAGTAAGTTACAGCAAATTCACGTTGCACATAATGAATCGGAGGCATAATGTGAAAAATATTCTTATAGCTACATGATGATTGCTCCCACGATTCAGCAGACACGTTGCAAGCATTGGATACACCGGCATTTGCCGTCGGACGGCTCCGTCGCTGTGTCCGACGTGACATCGGCTTATACCGCAATTTGTATAATGGGCCCCGCAACCAGACAATTGTTAACCGAATTGACTGACATAGATCTGAATCCGAAAAACTTTCCATTTTTTACGTTTAAGGAATTAGACGTTGGCCTTGCCAATGGCATTCGTACGATGAATCTAACGCATACCGGAGAACTCGGCTACGTTCTGTATATTCCAAATGAGGTAACAGTTTTAACGTAAACGTTTACGCAATTCGAGAAATCAATATTATCTCATTTCTACTATTTCTGAGTTTATTCTCTTGTCCGAGGCAATTTTTTACTTATAAATCATATTTTAAAACTCATATTAATAATTATTATTTGAAACTTGTCTCTAATGAGGTACTCAAATTTAAATCCAGAATTAGATGAGAATTTTTCAGATGAATCGCGATTACGGATACAAATCTTGCGTATATTACATTTCACACCAAAAAAACTTGGATCTAATTCTGAATAAAAATCCGAGTATCTTATATAAAACAAGTTTCAGATAAAGACTACTAATACGGGCCTAATGCTGCAATTCTAAATAAATATATGAGTAAATCATAAAGTCTTAGCTTATGAATCAATCGTCTACCTATAAGTTCTTACGAGAACAAGTTACAAGCTTTACGATTTTATCTAGAATTGCAATATAAATCTGTGATTACAGATCTTTTGATTTCAGTTCGCGTTACACGTATATACAAGATTGATAGACGCTGGGACAAAATACGGAATGAAACACGCTGGTTATTATGCGACGCGAGCTTTACGGGTGGAAAAGTTTTACGCATTTTGGGGACAAGATTTAGATACGTTCACCACTCCTTTAGAGTGTGGGAGATCGTGGCGAGTGAAATTTGATGTAAGGATGAAAAAGAAAATGGAAATTTTTAACGCGAGCGTGCTTATCGGTTAAAATATTTACTTTCTTCTAATAGAAATTATTTTTACTTTGTAGAAAGGAGTCGACTTCATTGGTAGAGATGCTCTTTTGCGACAGCGCGAACAAGGAGTCATGCGCAAGTACGTACAGTTATTGTTAAATGATCACGATGTTGAATTCGATACGTGGTGCTGGGGAGGCGAACCTATTTATCGCAATAGAAAGTATTGCGGAATGACAACAACTACGGGTTACGGATTCACATTCAAAAAGCAGGTGAAAATCAGTTTCCTCTTCTTTCATATACTTGTGAAAGAAGAAGAGCAAGATAAAAAATATCAATGAACTTATAAGGACGTTATTAATATCTTTGAAGAGAGTAACATATTGAACTGTATTCGCAGGTGTGTCTCGGATTCGTACAGAACTTAGATTCAAAGGGTCAACCGCAAGAGGTAACAAACGAGTACGTGTTGTCGGGAGATTACGAAGTGAACGTCGCTGGAATCATGTACCCCGCGAAGTGCCACTTGCACAGCCCGAATTTACCAACGAAATTTCCTGATAAAGAGAGAGACGCTTATCATGCTACACGCGATCAACAACCTTTGTAATCCCCGGCGAACGATCGTAATGCGTCACGTGTGTGTACTCATTTGTGAAACGGTACATATGTATATATATATAGAAAAGTTTACTAAATTTTTAATATAAATGTCAAACTCATGAGTGTTACACCACATTGAAAGATATAGAAGTCGCAGTAAAAATTTTATAGAATAAAGAATCGCGTCGTTAAATGTTACATTGGATCAATTATATGTATATTATTCATTTTTCTTCTCTATTATAACTACTTACTTTTAAAAAATGGCATCTACTTATCATACTATATCACTATATATGTCACAGATTTCTTCGTGATTTTTATCATACACTTTGAAAAGAATTCCTAAAGATAATCATTAATCACTAAGCTTCGCATACGCGTTGTACATGTGTATATGTGTGTAAGTTTCTTCTGTATCATAAAAGTAAACAATATATTTAGCATTTTAGAAATTTGCACAGCTAATTTGTTTAACGTTAACTGGTCATGATGAGTAACCTCAAACTTTCGCGATCAAGTCGCCGACGAACTTCTTTAAAAATTTTACCATGACGATTATGAATAACCCGCTATATGTATGTATATATACAATATATATATCATCTCTCTTTCACACACATACACATATACACACAGCAAATACACACATATATATAGTGACACATTTGCGTTCTGTGATGTGTGTAAAGTTTGTCTATATCATACATAGAGTGAGATGCAATTATCTCAAAGACACATTATATTAGTCAAAAAGCGTTTGCTGTTGCCAAAATTGATGACAAGAATCCCTTTTATTAAAATATTAACACAATAATTATCTTCACTTATACGCTACACTTATGAATTGATACGCTTAATATATGATTAGTCGGTATATCTGTTCGCTATGAGAATTTAAACTTAATATTACATATCTATCCTTACATAACTTTTTACACGCGATTCTTATATACGATTTTTATTTTACTGTACACACGCACACACACACACATACCTATATATATATGTATATATATATATAGAGAAAGACTCTATCACTCTGGAATCTCCGGATCGGGAGTGGGCTGCACTTGTTTTTGCACCATACACGATTTAGCCACAGACTCGAACAACCTGCAACAATATGCTTGTATCCTATCAAGCAGTAAAATTATTTTTCATATTTCTGTATACTTACTTCACCATTTCAGGTGCGCAATGTACAAACTCATGTGTCCAGAATTTATACGTAGGGTTTTTGATGAGCTCAATAAAAGTAATAAGAAGGCCCCACGGATGCGGTCTGTTGACGATGAGCCTTTCGAGAAGAACCCTAGTGATCTGTTCCTGTATCGCCTCCGTGTTCGCTCCGGCGAACAAATACAGGAGCGTACAGCTGAAGTAGTGCGTGTGGCTATTGGGAAACCGCAACTGGTTCGTTAAAGCGTTCAAGAACAAATAGCGGCCTTCCGTGTCAAGGGCAACCGTCAGGTTCTGGAAGATGTCCATGTGTGCGGAATGCGCAATTGTGGACATGTTGGCTGTAAGGTTATTGCTGCGAATGACCGCGATGGCTTGTGTGCCCACATATAATACCAACGCGTTCATCAGTTGGATATTGTAGCGCATTCCAGGTTCTTGCGATACTTGCAAATTGCTAACCAACTCAGACAAAAAGGTGACCGGTGCACGAGCCTTCAGATAAGAGTCTAATTCCTTTCTGAAGCTAACCGGTTGTATCGTAGTCGCAAAATTTGTGAGAATTCGCGGCGCCTGCGTAATCTCCGTCAGCATGTCGACCTTCAGATTTGGTGTAAATGGGTCAGGTAGACGCATACTTCTGGGAAATGCGCTCAGAATGAGATTTCTCATTTGTATGCAGTTGGGCGGTATCACGTCGCAAAATCCGTAGTGATAATCGCACAGGAACTCAGGGAAGTCGTGCAGTAGCACCAGCAGCACGCGTAGTGTGCCCTTATACAAGAGAGTCACAGGCTTAGCGAGTTCCGCATTGCGTAGATAAGGCGCGAGGTATTTAAACAAGTCTATGAGCAACTGCGCATACATTCCCCAGCATTTCTGCTGCGGCGTGATGACCAACATACGACTGATGAACACCCGATGCGAAAATAATTCCAGCCAAGCATAACAGAATCCAGGCGCCTTCGCTGGACGCAGTATGTGTAATGTGTGACAGTAGGCCATTAGCACTTGAAAGTTCACGGCCTCTAACACAGGCTCGGGCGCACATAGTTCCAAGAACAACATGATGAAAATTCTGTGGTACGGCAATTGTTGAAAGTCAGTGCCGCGCATCTCGTGATCTTGTAACAATACACCAGCGACTATACCGAGCACTTTGTTCAACAGATTGAGTTTAGTATGCGTATTGGTGGTGTCGCCTGAGTGCTTCACTAGCAGCGCAACGAGACGTACGAATGCATCCAGCGAATGGAAGCACTTTGCGCGAACGAGCGACGGCGCCGCGTTGGTCTCAGCGAGAGCACGATAACAAAGATCGACGCACATTTGGGTGCTCAGTTTGAAGAATCTGGTAATGAGGTCGTCAGTCTTGAGGATACCGTGAATATTCATTTGATGCACGAAGATGCTAAACGCCTTCGTGGGATCACGGGCGTGCGTGGGATTGTGATACATGGAGACCCATTCACGCAATAGGTACTCCGTTTTGTCCATCAATCCAGGCGGATCGTCGAAATCGCGAGCCTATTTAAACGACAAGGTGCGAAAGTTGCAATCATCGTGTTTGCTTATATACATTGCTAAGAGGTAGGAGGATACCTGAACTACTTACTCTCACCTGCAGGATTCCAGAGTGAATGTGCGCTGTCGGCCCAGTTGAAGCTCTATCCGCTAATAAGCCAGGATCATGATTAGCTCGCAGAGCATCTATCAAGGTTGTTATCCGATACAGCAAAATTCTGGAAAAACATTCATAAAATTGTAGCACTCACACTATCATTGGGTAGCAGTAATGAGCAATAGCACTGTGGAATGTTATTTTCATATGAAGAATAATATTCCACAGTTGTGAGAACCTTTATCTATATAATGTGGTGGACAAAAGATCATTTGTGATACAACCAGAATATAGATAATATCGATCTGCTAATATGCTAACAGGCGAGTCTTCCGTCAACAAGTATTAATATCAGAGTTAGCAAAATTATTCTTTAAAAATATTGCCTAACCTATTACTATTATACACGCGTTATTCGTTATATATCGAAAAAAATAACTCGTTATCGTTATTCAAAAAATGTATCATTTAATTTCCGGAACATTTTTTACCATGTTTTAGAAAAATTATATTTGTTCCCGTAGTTCAAAAGCGTAATTGTGTCATTGTCACGAGTTTACGAAAAACTACTGTTTACGAAAAAACGTCATTACTGAAAAAAGTAACTTGTAACGACAACAGCGTTATAAGTAACGCGTTACTTCTTAATATTGGCTGATACTCACCCTTCTGGTGGGGCACGGTGATGGGCCATGCGAGCGAGTATCTCGATCGTGTGAAATAAATCAGATTCCGTGACGTGAGTTATCTGTCTTTCGTCAATTAAATACAGTTGAACCAACTGCATAGCGAATGCTGTTGCCAAGGCGCTTCCCGCTTCTATGGCCTGTGCTAATGCTACATCATATTGAGGAAGATTAACTAGATGAGACCTGCAAAATAATATTACGTTATAACTCATGATAATATATCAACTTTAAGGGAAGATGGTTCAGTAGAAAGTAGCATCATACCTTATAAGACAGTCTACACCTTCGAAATTATATCGCAATTCTTCTCTGCTTTCAATTAAACAGCGAGTGACGTGTTTGTTAGTCCACTGCATACCGTAGGTGCGTGGATCTTGAAGACACTTCAGAATGCGTAAGTGCATATCTCTGTATCGCAACACAATTTCTGAATCGATGACACCGCTGGATATCGTGGGACCATCCAACAAGCCTTCGACAGCCTGGAAAATTGTTAAGTTTTACTCTGCAGCTATAGTTTATTTACTTGGTTTAAAGATTTGAGACACGAACGAACCTTCTTTAAGAGAGTCATCGCTGTACCAGTGTCTCTCGAGCGTCTTGTGAGGATAATTGATTCAAGAAGACTGTGAAGCGTAGTATGTTGAGGTGGAGGTGTCGCTGGACTCATAGCAGTCAATACAATCTCAACCTCAGTGATAAGTTTTTCCAACATAGCACCAACTTCATCGTTACCAACTGCTGATGCTGACGCATAAGCAACAACTTGCTGCGCCGTTGGAACTGTCACACCCGGATTTGTGACGTAAGAGGTTACTGTGGTATCCTACACGACACAAAAGAAATAAAATCAGGGAGTCTTCGTTAACAATACAGATTCAATCTCTTAAATATGATTGAGATAAACGAAGAACGATTCTTACGGTGGCAGGCTTGGGCATGAAGAGAGCTTGTGTGTCTCGTTCGGAGAGCGGAAGGAATCCTGGGATATTTCTGGCGAACTCCTCGTAAACTGCCATCTGCTGTTGAGTAACACCGCCGATCTTCAGTCTGATTTGCTCCGGCATTCTTTCGGCTTGGTATTTGGCGAGGGGATCGCAGTATCTTCTTCCTTCCTGCCGAGCGATCTTACGCAACTCTATCTCATTCACCAATCGTTTGTCCATTTCCGGTATCGCTTTCTCCATAGCAGTCTTCTGTACGAAGGCGCATGCGAGTTCCATGTTCTCGGCGGCGACTATATTCGCCGCTTGTTCAGCAAGATCTTTCTGTTGCTGTGTCGAGGTGATCAGCGCCGCGAGGAAAGATTGCTTCAAGTTCCCGCTGATCGACGTTAGGAGCTAAATGGAAATAAAAATTGGTAAAAGCTTCGAATTTTCTCGAATCAAGTTTAACTTGATTTAACGAAAAATTATTTATCAACCAAATAACAGCTGTCGTTGTCTACAATCCTTCTTTAACGTTTTTCCAGCAGCTGTTAGATCTCTATCTCAGAAAGACTTTTTATCGTCAAAGAAGGCATTGCCTCACATATAATATACAATCATGAGTGACACATGAGGAATTTAATATACTTACCTGAAATTGTTTTAGCAGCCTTGATGTTTAGGCTTACCTCTTTTCGTCTTACCTGATCGCGACACGTGATCATAGCCATGCCAGCGGTCAGATTGCGAACCATATGACGTGCTGCTGATCTCATCCGTATTTCTTCTGGATCGAGTGCGAAATCTTTTCTTACAATTTGTTCGCTGGTAGTTATAGCAATCTTCATAGAACGATCGACGACTGGGTGAATCCATTCCTGAATCGCTCGTTCGATCGCTGGACGAACGAACTGCTTCAGATGAGGATGTGCTTGGAAAAGAGGTAACTGGGAAACAAATACACATATATATAAAATTGCATACATCATATTCTCTAAATTTCTTGGAGTAAATTCCACTCGAAAAATAAAGTGATCGATCTTCGAGTCAAATTCGAGTGATTTCTCATAGAGTGAATTTTCTACTCTGAATCATTGAGTGAATATTTTAATTAATCTTTATATTTTAATATTTTATATTAATATTTTATATTAATATTTTATATTTTAATATTTTAATTAATCTTTAATTTCAAAATTAAAGAGTGAATTTTATATATTCTATCGTTATACAGAAACAACAATTCTAATTGATTAAAATATTCGCTCGTATGGAGTCAGAATTTATTCCAAGTTTGAGTAAAACATTCACTTCTGCGATTTTAAATAGCAGTATTTTTACTTGAAGCAATAGTGAAAATACTACAACTTAACGTTCGTTGAGAAATCATCTCCAGAAATGCAGAAAACAGTATGTGAATTATTCGCACGCTTCTTAAAATTAATATAATTTTTATTTGAAACAGAAATGAAATATATCACATACCTGGTTATTTAGAGTAATGTGCGAAGATATGTTAGCGATACCAGTTATAGATATATCCATGTAATTAAATCGTGGTTCCGGCGGGCCAGTTGGCAACGAAGGTGTCGTATTCGCAGGAGGCGCTGTTTGAGAAACAATCGTACTGCTTGTCGTTGGTCCTACCAGTTCTTCTATAGGGCCTTGAGATTGCTGTTGATTGTTAGAGGTTTCCGATTTTTTATTCGGCTGTGACAATTGATACTCCAAGTTGCGCAGTTTTTCGGGATCTTTCAAGTAAATGACTGGTTTCAACTCCTGCATAGAAACAAAGATTTGTAAACAACACATTGAATGTATAGGTTAAAATTAAGAGAGTGTAACTAACACACACATACACACACACATACTAACCGTGACATCGATGCTTAGATTCTTGCACAGAACTTCAATCTCGAACTTCAAATTCAGTTTCAAATCAGGTTCCTGGTGAAGTTCGGCTAGAACATTCATAATTGCCATTGTCCAGGGATTAGGTGGGCGAAAGACGCGACTTTTTGCACAGCTCTCGAGTACTTTTGCAACAAAAGGCACCACGTAAAGAAGCTCTTGCTGTCCCTTGTGATATGCCTCGACAAGTAAACTTTTCAGGTCTATGTCTACCTGTTAGACGATTAAGAATCGATAAAATAGGTAAGCGCATGTCAATAGAAGCATGATGTATTACTTGTATTACTTGTAAACAGTAACACACCTGTAAGATAGGTTTGTTCCTGCCAAGTGTCAGCATACCGAGCCAATGTCCCAAGTTCTTCAAAAGCGATCTGTCCGAGAAATTAGCTATACCCTTATCACTACGCAGAAGTACCTAGGTAAAGATAAAACTTACGATTATAAAAACCAGTACGTGAAGAGATATTTGATTAATTTGACAATGAGATATAAATGTTCGTTTAATAAGATCTTTGCCACAAAATACAAAGCTTAACCTACCTTGATATTACGAAACGTTTCTCTGGTGACCATCTTATTAAGTTCAGGTAATTTTATGCAATCTAGAAAATTCGAGTATAAAGCATGAAAATTGAGTTCTATGCTAGCGCGTTTCATTACTAAGTACTGCGCCATCCACGGCCAGTATTCCTCCGTGACAATTTCGCGAATCTCATCGCATTTCTGCTGCAGATTCAGCTGGCTAAGATTATTGAAAATAAATGCCGTTTTGTCTTGCAAGGCTTCCGGCGGTGTCGTAATCTTCTCTTCTTTGTCCGTTGCCACGAGCAAAGTGTCGATATTAGTTGCATTTGCGATGGATGGCTATAAGAATAGTTGTATCGTGTTACGCGCGTTGACTAGATACATAATTAAAAACATTTCTGAAAAAGTATGATTTCGCACACTTACTCTAGCCGAGAGAGACGTAGTCGGAGTCGTAGACGGTTTCGCCTGCGTGGTGCTAGTTGTAATAGTAGTTGTAGTCATGGTCTTGTACAACGTCGTAACTGACGTCCCTAACATAGTCGTGATGCTTTTCGGGCCTTGCGGCCTCGATGGCGGTTCTTGTGCTTGTGAACCGTACTCGATGTACTCCATCAAATGCGGCGGGAATTCGCTATAATGCGGAATAGCACGAAGATGATCGCAGTAAGTCGAGTAGTCTTTCAAGCGCGTCTTAAAGCAGTCCAGAGCCGTTATACCAAAAAAGTACATCTTGCTGCCTTCCGGCTTCCTAAGCGCGTCCAAGACGAATCTCAATGACATTCCGAGCGTTAAGTAATTACCGATTAGGCCACGCTCGATGATCCCCCCGAACATCTGCGCCGTAATCTGTAATTCTTTCTCGGGATATTGTGGGAAAAATTTGTACTCTTCGAACAGATTCCGCATCATACATTGAGACACTTCCCTCTCCCTCCTATTGCTAGAGTCCGCGAATTTCTTCAACATGTCTAGCACTTCGTTGATCGACAAGGTTGGATGCGGCGGATGATTGTATATACGTTGAAAATAGCTGTTTGCTTCATCTTCAATTTCCTTGGCCACGGGCTGCGCCATATCCGGAAATAAGCTTGAAATATCCGCCGGGACCCTTGTTTTCTCTATACCAGCTGGAGGCGCGAGGCGTCCTAATCCGCCGATAGTCGTACCACCAGGGAGCACGGACGGGCCTTGAGTACCAACTGGACCCGAATGCAATTGTGATGTTAAAGGCAACATCGGAAATGGACTCGGAGAAGGTCCCATGAGTCGTGAAGGGGATCCGGGAGCCGAGACTAGAGGTCCTAATGCGCCAGGCAGGTTGAAAGCAGAACTGCTTGGTGGCCCGAGACCAGTGCCAAGACCCATGGTTGCAAGATTGGTACTCAAATTACCTAAAGGATCCACTTGTTTCGAAGAAAATATCTGTAAGAGATAACATCGATACATAATTATGTTGCAAATATGTGATTACACATGTGTTGCATGTGTAATCTTGAAGCAAAAAAGGATAAATACAGAGAAAGAGAACACGAGAAAAGACACTTGAATGAAAATACCTGACTCCCTAGAGTAGCCGGATTAAACGGTTCCAATCCGCGATGTCTCAAGACTCCAGGTGGTGGTGGTCTATTTACATTTTTACTCAACATCAGACTGCAATTTTGAACCATCGTCAATATCAACTCCGAACAATCTTGAGAAACATTTCTGCAGTATTAAAAAGGAAGAGATTGTCAGAGATGTTGTCAGCATGCAGCACTAACATACTCTATATAAATTTTAAGGTTACATACCCAGCACAAACTTGCAAGCAAGCGAGTATCGTAGTGAGAGTCTCCTGCGGTAACTGGCTTGCTTTCGACACTGTGGATTCCTCTTTGAGGCCACCCGCGACCTGAGGGCAACGTCTCTGGAGAAACTTCGCGCATGCTGCGATGAAAATTTCTCCATGATCTCTGATCTTATCTGACAACCACTTTTCTAATTTCAGATATTCTCGCCGAGATGCCAAACATGCGAGATCGATGACAAACGGGAATGATTGTGCGTTCAATAGCGCAGAGAGCGCTTTGAGATCTTGCGCGACATCCAAAATGCGCGATAATCTCGTTTGATCATGGTCGCGTGAATACCAGTCAGCCATGGCGTGCATAACAATTGACTTTATCTTGGAGTTATTCGAATGCCAAGTGTGATGCAATATTACAGCTGAATTGGGATGATTGCCCAGGAAAATGGGCACCAATGTGTTGAGCAGCTCTTGTCTTAGTATCGTGAGAGGTTGATTAATCTGCAATAGTGCTAACACGAGCACGTCCGGGCAATGCTGGATGGGCCACTTGAATATTTCTTGCACCTGAGTGTACATCCCTCTCTCCGCCATGAACAAAAGCAACTCCACCATGTTGAGCGATCTCCACGTTTGTGCCTCTTTATTGTCCCCTTCGGGTGCTGCTTTCAATACGTCTACGGTTACCGAGTGGTACGGATAGTCCGCAAAACAGAATATATCCGGGCACTTCAGAATCTGTTGGATTAAGGTAAATTGACCTTCCACGTTGTCCCAATGCCGATAAAAGAGTTCAACTGGAAACATTTCGGGCGGATATCCTTGATGTTGAAGACCCAACTTCAAACCTGTGATAAGTAAACTTAAGCCTTGTCTATCTTTGATAGCGAACTCTGCGTGATCCAACTTCACAAGGACATCGTTCCACGATAATGTGGCTTGCTAAAATTTAATAACGAAAGTTAATTGCAGCCTATGGAAAAATATGGGACGTCTAATGATAAGTTTCCTATATTTCGTGTACACGTAGATTAAGTCAAATACAAAATTTCTCTATCATTTTGCAAACACAGAATCTTGAGTTACAGAACTTTTTTATTCCATTTGATCTACAAGCAGGATGGCGTCGTTATCACAACCCCGTATCAGCCGTATCAAGCGTGATTATTTGTTAATCTTCTTTAATGAATAATATAAAATTCTATTATCACTTATCGTTAAACATCCTGTATACATGAACATCACAAACTCACTATTTCCTTTACAGCCTGAACAAACACTTCGACGTTCCATGTTGACGGGCCGGTAGTTTCCGACGATTTCTCTTTATTGGAGTCTTGCGTCGTGGTCGAGTTGCCCCAAAATGATTGTATTCCTCCAGTATCTTCGTGATTATTACAGGTACGAGCCATATGCGCCAACACACGTGCTACACACGCTGGTGTTAGTTCTCTAGCACCCAAACCTGCTAGTGCAGCTCGGCATTCCTCCACGCTAATGGTCAGGCTATAGCCCAATTCCATAATTAACTCCGCTAGAGAATTGCCATCCTACAAACAGCAAACAAAGATACGAGATTTATATACAATGCTGACAGGGAAGATTGCAGATAATGAAGAAACTCCACTTTACTTTATTGACATAAACATTACTTTACCATTTGACTGACCGCCATGTTTAACTCAATTTTGGACTGCGGAGTTTCCCCGTCTCCTGGATATAAGAGTGGTGCTAGCACCACTGGCACCAGCTCACGGGGAAAATCGCGTCGCAAGTTCTTGAGAAATTTTTCCTTCGCTTCGGCGGGAAGGTTGTACGGATTGGCAGTATGAAAAGTCTGGCTGAGTATTAAATGAAGAACTTCAGGCGACGAATCGTGCAGACCTTCCTCGTGGTGCTTGTTGCTGGTTTCCGAATTTACGTAGTTCTTTATTAACTCAGGCAGCTGTTTCTGTGTATGTTCTAAGGCCAACGTGCGGATTTCTGTGTTCTCTGAATGATGCAAAGCAATTGCAAAAGCGACCTCTTGCACCAAGCTCAACCAAAGTGTCTTTTTTAAATTGGCAAAAAACTTGGAGGAAGGATTCAATGACTGGAAAATGAGCAGAATGATTAATATGTATCTCACTTTGGAGGTATTCAGACATCAAGCCTGTTTTTTTCAGCTAAACTAGTTTGCATTTTTTGCTTTTAGAGCAAAACAGGAGGTCTGTTTAACTGGGTTCTATTTATTTGAATTTCTCTTTTCTCCAATGTTACATTATATTGTTTCTAACATCTAGTTGTATCTAAATATACTTGTTTCTAAGATAACAATATACCTAAATATATTTGTTTCTAAGACCTAAGTATATAACCTAGCATTGAAGGAACAAAGTTCCAACACAGCACTAGTTCAAATGAAGAGAACAGGCCTGTTGTTCAGCAAAAAGGAATAGACCTAATAATATAGCAAACACATACCTTCTGATGATGCAAAGGATGATCTATTGCAAAGCACAAATTCGATACCAAGGATGGTTTACTTAGTAAAGCAACACACTCCTGTTTTAACAGCTGTGCTTGAAAGTAATCCTTGGAGCTGGACTCTGACCGTTCACCACTGGAGAAGTCAACATGAGAGATCAAGCAGCGCAACAAATGTCGGTCCGCCTCCAGACCAGTCCACTGCACCAGCTATGAAGATATCTTATTAGTACAACTGCTTAACTTTTAACCACTAAAGCTTCCACCATTAACGACAACACATAACACCTCAAATATTACGGATAAGAATTTCTTTGGGATTCCTATAAAAACAAGCAATAAGGACATAAGTTGTATTGAATTTTGGAGAAGTACGCGGAGAAATGTTTTCCCGAGGAGAAACCACCGGCCATGGAATGCGAACAAAGGATGTGTTCGACGAGGTTAAGATACACGCGCAAGTAAATAATACGCGGCGAGTGCGAACGTTTGTACTAACAAGTGTCTCGCGATTCGAAATATGTACGTTAAAAGAGGCCAGGTATATCGACATGCTGTTTTGAAAATACCTCCTATGGCGCGCGGCAAAGCGCGTTACAACGTGCGAGCTCGCCTTGTAGCGCGCGCGTGCACGCAATGCGTGCATCGCCTCGCGGACACGTCCTATTCTCAAGTAATGGGGATGGAAGACCAGCGAAAAAATCGAGTCCGTGCGAGGCGCGCTAAATGAGCATATTGCGTTGTGTATCTCCGCTGGGTACGACGAGCGAGGAGCCGAAGAGAGAGAGAGAGAGAGAAAGAGAGTCGTGATACGAGCAGGATGGGCGGGAGGAGGGGCGACGCAGCTTGGCGAAAAGTGTCGGAGAAGGGGGCGGAGGGGAGGAAGAAGAGGAGAGAGAGAGAGAGAGGAGGTGTGGATTGTCGTGGAATAACGTGGAAATAGAGCCTGCTGAGGCCCAACGGCTGTGCGAGATGCAATATACTTACGAGTGATATCTCTTGACAGCTCTCCCGAAAATTTCTCTTACTCAAATTCGCAACCAAATAACTGATTTGTGACAAAGTAAAAGACAACGAGTCCAGGTTCATAGTTCCATGAATACGACCTCGAAAGCTTCAAACGCGTTTGAAGCTTTCTTCGGTATCCACGAATTGCCGCCCCGGATGCTCTCCTCGTTAAAAGCATGAAAGTCACATTGGCGCAATCCTATGGCCAACATCGGGATTGATATTATTGAGATACGATTTCAGAGCAACGTCATGGCGAGCACAACACGGACGAGGCTCAAAAAAACACGTAACACTGCGCGCTGTCTCTCTTTCTTTCCCTCTCTCTCTCACTCTTTTTCTCTTTCTCGCGCGCGCACACACACACGCACACTACCGCCACCACCTCCACTGCCACCGATGGATAGTTCGTCGCCGATCGCGCACCGTATTACTGATGACACACTATTCTCAATTGTCCACACTGTACTGAGGATCGCCGAACACTGTCGCACTCTGTGGCTACCGTGATGCTCCGACGCGCCGTATAGAATCCGCTCGTTTATCCCATATGTTTAGGCACGACGATTACAGCGCCACCGGCGATCCTGATTGGTTGGTCTATGCGCACTATTTGCGCGCCGATCGGAGTGTGTTCCAAAAATCAACAATATAAAAGGCAATATTGGCTACGTTCCGAAATTCACTGCCAGTACTGAAAATCTATAGTTCATGTCACGTATACTATTGAATTTTAGCATTGGCAGTGAATTTCGGAACGCAGCCATTAAAAATTGGATTTAAATCATCTTAAATTATTTTAAATTTATTTTCAGATACTTCATAACTAATGGCTGCGTTCTGCGGAACAAAGCAATCAGTCAGTGGCTTGGTTTACATCGTGTATTTGATATGCGTAAATAGTAACTTTTTATTAGATAATCTTAATCGATAATGCATATCAACGCAACGCATTCTATCAATACAATAACGTTTTGTTGATACTAGCTTTTGTATTATACTAGCTTAATATACCGTTGTTTATATATATCGTCGATATTAAGATTATCTAATAGAAAGTTACTATTTAGTACGCATATCAAGTGCACGATGTAAACCAAGCCATTGAATATCGGACGTCGTACGTCGGACATTGGACGCGGTGTGAATCCTGCATAATAAGAGAACAGCTTTCTAATAGATAATTCAATTCAGAGCATGGCTCTGGCTTAACTCACTCACTGGGTTTTAGCCTACGTTTATTGGTCGAACAAGTACTTATATGCTTTATGATTGGCTAGTAGAGACTTATGACGTCAATAATCGCTCTCGGAGCAATTAACCCAGGGCCATTTGAACACGCTATTGGCTTAATTTACATCGTGCACTTAATACGCGTACTATATAGTAACTTTCTATTAAATAATCTTAATATTGACAATGCATATCAACGACGACGCATTCAATCGATACAATAAGTCTTCTTGATCAGTATTATACCAGCTTAATATACCGTTATTTATATACATTGTCGATATTAAGATTATCTAATAGAAAGTTACTATTTAATACGCGTATCAAGTGCACGATGTAAACTAAGCTATTATAGCATGTTCGACTGGCTCTGGTTAATGTACTCTGGGTTATTCAGCCTACGTTTATTGGTCAAACAAGTACTTATAAGCTTTATGATTGGCTAGTAGAGACTTATGACGTCATTAATCGCTCTCGGAGCGATTAACACAGGGCCAGTCGAACACGCTATTAATTTCCTTGCTAGGCTGCGTTCAGAAACCCTACTCGGTGAGTAGAGTAACATTTAATTAGCCAATCAGGGTAAAAGAAACTAAGATTTATTTATCATGATTGGTTTATTAAAGTAACTCTACCCATCGAGTAGGATTTCTGGATAAAAATACTCTATTCTGATTGGTGCATTTCTAAAGATGGATGGAAATGTACCAATCAAAACAAAATATTTCCATTCAGCAAGCAATTCAGCACGAAAACAAGCACCGTGTGCCTTTAGATTCCTAGACCAATTATGTTGATAAATCACTCAATCGTTGTGCAACCATTTAGTACGTTCAGCAGATAAAAATGCTCAGTGAGCACTCGATGTTTATTGGTTTATACTGTTGGTTCCCTATATTTAGGTCAATTACGTTTACGAATCACTCAACAGTTGTACAACTGTTGTGTCTGCTGAACGTGCCCATTATGTTCACTGAACGCAATAATCACTCAATAAAATAATCCATATAGGTCGGTATCAGAGAGAAACCTGAGAGCGGCCACTAGAGATGGGCGATACTAATACCAAAACAAGAAATCTCTCTCTCATCCCGCACGCCCGCGCGTTCCAAGTAGTATATATTTCAGTGAGCCAAACTCTGAGGATGCAAACCCATGCAGCGAAATAACGGAGCGCGGGATGAGAACAAAACCAATTACGAGCGAAAGCAATCATGAGCGAAAACTGTAGAACGATTGGTTCCACTCTTGTTCCGCGCTCCACTATTCCAGTGCATGGGTTTGCACCCTAATTAGAGTGACTCTAGGGCTGCGTTTCAAAACTCTACTCAACAGGTAGAGTATATTTAGGTTGCTTTTTAACAAAAGACACAAGTCGACACAAACATCATTCTATCTTTGTTCCACATTTATGCCCAATTTCTTCACCTCCGGTTAACTTTATCTATCAGATAAATATCAACCGTGATTGGTTAATCTTGCCAACTATAAATATGATTGATCAATTCCAATAGAATAACTGACAGATAAAGGGTGCTTTCCAATTGCTTAACACATCTTGATATATATGTACACAGAATTGCACAAAGTGTAATGGCTCCTGCACACAGGACGCGATAATGCTTGCCGCGCGGCGAAAGTCCGCGCGACATCCAATTAATATGTTGTTTTTCCGTAGGAGCTAGAAGGTTATTACGGAATGCAGCATATTGATTAGCTGTTGCGCGAACTTCCGCCGTGCGGCAAGCATTACAGCGTCCTGTGTGCAGGAGCCATTAGAGGTTCTAAAAATGGCGTCATGTTTTCCGTTCGTGTTACGAGTGTAATGGCTCCTGCACACAGGATGCGTTAATGCTTGCCACGCGGCGAAAATCCGTGCGACAGCCAATCAATATGTTTTTCCGTAAGAGCTAGAAGGTTATTACGGAAAGCAGCATATTAATTGGCTGTCACATGAACTTCTGCCGCGCGGTAAGCACCTGTGTGCAGGAGCCATTAATGCAATTCTGATACATTTTCACTCTTGCTTGGGATCAAGTATAAAAAGTGTATTTACACTCGTAACACGAACGGAAATCATGACGTCATTTTTAGAACCTCTAGAGAATTAATGTGCACTAAGTGTGAAAGTGTAAAAAGTTCAATTAATGCGAATAAACTTATTGGATATTAGCTATTTTTAGACAACTCACAACTTCAAAGGATGTCTTAAAAATATTCTGATGACATCCCTCCGTCCTAAAAGCATCTTCAGAACGTATTTTGAAAAATTTGTGTTGTATGAGGTGCACTAGTTTGCAACGGGCATTAGGTATAAAAGTGTGTATAGTACAAGTAATAGCTCCTGCACACACGACGCGATAATGCTTGCTACGCGGCGGAAGTTCGCGCGATAGCCAATCAATATGTTGTTTTTCCGTAAGAGCTAGAAAGTTATTACGGAAAGTAGCATATTGATTGGCTGTCGTGTGAACTTCCACCGCGCGGCAAGCATTACCGCGTCCTGTGTGCAAAAGCCATAACTCGACAAACCTTATGATGTCGTATCATATATGTCAAATTCGAGCGCAATGTGAATTTTGCATGAACCTGTATATAGCCCGGCTAATCCCTAATCTATTGATTGTATATTCGAAAATTTCATCAAAGTTACCGATCTACAACAGTTTTGTCAATGACACAGCGCGAATAATACACAGTACACTTGCAGTCCGTTGCAGTAATTGTCAGAAGTGAAGTTACGTAGGATTGTGTATCACGCAAATTGCGAGAAAAATGGCAAGTTCGTCGCGGTAAGTTTCGCAAAGTTTTCATATTATTCTAGGAGATCCCTTATTTCAAGTATCACTTTTTCGTTACGTGTAGCACTAATTTATTAGCGTACACGTCTCACGGAGGTTAGATTAGGGTCGCATATAGAGAGAGTTTGCAGAATCTCATTTATACCATGTGGAACCATGTATTTTTCCAATCAACATGCGAATAAATCGATAGCTAGATGAGAAGAGACCGTGAAATTAATCTCCTTGTAATCACAGAGCTTAATGTAATCACGTAGCTGTATATTCAGGCATTATCTTTCAACTCTAAATATTTTTAAGTTGAATGCATTATCTTTAAATGCATATGCATTATTAATTCAAATGATGGACATAATACTTTTTAATTAACAGTCTCGATGCATGATTATTTAAATACAATGCATTTGAAATTTCTAGACTAGGATTAATAAGCATAACAGAGCATATGTTTATGTTATATACAAGTAATGTATTAATGTTTACATATATCTATGGAATTAAAACAGAGAATTTGTATCTTTCTCAATACTTGTAGGAATATATAGCATTTCTATTTGCAATTTAAATAGGTTTTAATTTATTTCTAATTAATAAAGATGAAGTAAATTATTCTTGTTCTGTTCTTTACAGACATTACACAAACAAAATCTGCTGTTATGCACACCCAGATGCTCCACTTATAGAAGACTATAGAGCTGGCGATCAAATTTGTTCAGAATGTGGACTAGTTGTTGGAGACAGGTAATAAAAACATCAGAAATAAATATGAGAGCTCTATATCCTGAACTCTCTTTTATCGATAAAAATATATTTCTAAATACTTCTAAATACTTCTAAAAATATACTTCTTAATATTTCTAAGTGTGATTTATAAGCATGCTTAAAGGCAATTTCATTAATAAAAGAATTTACACAAAATAAGAACCAAAGTCAGTTAATACAATGCTCATATGACTAATTAAGTAGAGACATAAAGTCAATTAATTTAGTTGAAATTCAACAGTGATATGCTTACTAAATAGAGACATAAGATCAATTCAGTTGAGACTTAGTAATCATATGATTATTTTATTCAACACACACACACACACACACACACGCACGCACGCACACACACACACATATATATATATATATATATATATATATATATATATATATATATATATATATATATATATATTGACTTATTCAAATTCAGTGAATTTGTTAAAAATTAGTTAAAACTTAGTTGAAATTCAATACTCATACAATCATTTTCTTATTGTAGAGTAATAGATGTAGGTTCGGAATGGAGAACCTTTAGCAATGAGAAATCAGGAGTGGACCCGTCGCGTGTCGGTGGACCGGAGAATCCGTTACTAAATGGCTCAGACTTGTCCACAATGATCGGGCCAGGAACCGGGGCCGCGTCTTTCGATGGTTTCGGCACTGCTAAATATCAAAATCGACGCACAGTTAGTATTTTTATGCACTTCTTTCTTCACGCGTCTTACGACGTATGAATACTCATGTAGACGCATTTTATTCTTTTAGATGAGCAGTTCCGATAGAGCTCTGGTGAACGCGTTCCGCGAGATCAACGGTATGGCGGATCGTATTAATCTGCCGAAAACCATCGTGGATAGGGCCAACACGCTCTTCAAGCAAGTGCACGACGGCAAGAATCTGAAAGGTCGCGCGAACGACGCGATCGCGTCCGCCTGTCTGTACATTGCCTGCAGACAAGAGGGAGTGCCGCGTACTTTCAAGGAAATCTGTGCGGTCAGTAAGATCAGCAAGAAGGAGATCGGTCGATGCTTCAAGCTAATACTCAAGGCTCTTGAAACCAGCGTGGACCTCATCACCACAAACGACTTCATGTCCAGATTTTGCTCCAATCTCGGTCTACCGAATATGGTGCAAAGAGCTGCAACACATATCGCCAGGAAAGCAGTGGAGATTGACATTGTACCAGGCAGATCGCCTATTTCGGTCGCCGCTGCCGCAATATACATGGCTTCCCAAGTATGTTATATTCATTTAATTCATGTTAATGTAACTCCATCACGTTTGGAGTGTATCCGTCCTTGTTAAGACTTCTGGCTCCTTGCCGTGGCCATCTTGATTTATGATAATAGAAGTGAGAAAAAGAGAGAGGTGCATATTTTAAGGATTCTTGCAAAATACGTAATAATAAAAAAATGTACAAAAAATTATACTTGCAATTGATCAAGCAAATGTATGAAATAATCTGAACACTTTCCTTTTGTTCTAACAATCAATAAGTAACTGTAAAATTAACGTGACAAAATTGAGGAAAGGTCAAAAAGGTAGATCACGTTAATTTTACGATAATTTATTTATTGCTACAACAAAAATGTTTGGATTATTTTGCAAATGTGCCCGATTGATTACAAGCGTTATTTTATGAACATATCACTTTATTTCAAAGTATTTTGCAAACATTTTTGTCGTGTATTTTCACGTCTCTGACATTATCACACGAGAGTTCCGCGGTGAGTAGCCAGGAACCTTGAAAGAATGGTTTTCCATCACGAACAACCGTGTTACTTGATTCAAATATTTTACTCATAATATATATGTGACAGCGCATATAATTTCGTAAAATTTTTCACTTTTACACAGGCATCAGAAGATAAGAGGTCGCAGAAGGAAATCGGAGATATCGCCGGCGTCGCGGATGTCACAATTCGACAGTCGTATAAATTAATGTATCCGCACGCGTGCAAGCTCTTCCCCGAGGACTTCAAATTTACTACGCCTATTGATCAGCTGCCGCAAATGTAAAGTTTTCAGAAAACGTGCACGTTGCGAATCTATTTAAAAAGCGTGTTGATCCTTTCCAAGGTTTTCGGAAAATTAATACATTGTTCTCTTCCCTTTACTCTATCATCTTCAAAACATATCCGATCTTATTAAAGTAATCGAGTTACTTAATTGAAATATTTTACCCATAGGATACATTCCCAAATATTGTATGTGGTTATTCGAATTTATATTTTACTAATATAAGTAAATTTCGTTAATTTCTCTTGCAAATAATAAATCAATTTTTTAAGTTAAATTTGTGCTCGTTGGAAATATTGTTATTTATAAAGGTGAAACATATGCAACATTCATATTTTATATTCTGCTGTATAAAAGCAATTATCTTACACAATATGAATTTTTTTTTATACAGAGTTCTCAGCTTTTCGTTAATTTTACATTCATTCAAAATTTGTAGCACTTTAGAGGAAAAAAGATTCATTTAGTATTATGATTAATAGTTACACTAAGTGAATCTTTAACTAGATTATAAAACTAGTATATTATAAAACTATTTTTACAATTGCAAAAAACTTTTATCAAATGGCCTTACATTAAAACTCGAAACATGTGTAAGATGTACATGTACTGATGTGTACCACATATATTATATAATACATATATTATATAAACATGCATATATTGTATATATTAATATTTATATTATTCTATATATATATATATATATATATATATATATATATATATAATATTATATTATATTATATTATATTGCGGTTTAGGCATAAGAGTAGATATTATATTAAACCTTTATAAAGGAGAGTTGTAAAGCAGATGTATGTAGAAAGATAAAAAGATAGATGTATGTAAAAAGATAGTGGAGATGTGCTAAATTTCTATCTCTGTTTTCTGTAATATCTTATTTTCTTCAGTAGTTAGTCTTATATATGGCGCACTCGAAATTCTTCTACAAACATGTAATAAATCACAACATAATATTGAGAAGTTGATTGTATAATAAAAATATAAAATTCATTCTGTGATACTTAAAAAGTAAAATAAGTAAGACTTTCTAATATGTCCAATTTATCTAACTTTATCAGATTTTTGTTAATTTTTGTGTTCTTGGAAACAAAAATTATGAGATGCACGATTACGTATATATTAATCTCTTTAATATCAAAGTTGATAATAAATTTGAATTTATTTGTTGGTTTCCACATACTTGTCATTTTAATGATCATTAATGATCATTAAAAATAGATAGTAAAATATAATTTTAGTAATTTTATTTTTTATTTTACTAAAATTTTTACATCTGTATATGGGATTGTTACATTTGTTACGTGGAATCCTAAATAAGATTATCAAAATTGTTTATTATATTAAAACATCTATATTTTGTGATCTAGTTTATATAATTTGCAAACTACTTATAAATAATAAATATATGAATTATAAATTCAATTTAAAAACTTTTATATTGATAAAAGCATACATTTATAAAAAGAATTAATCAAAATATGATACGCACGCGTTACATTGTGTTAGATTCTATAGTATCAGCATATAATTCTATCCTTGTTTCATATTCGTTGAGCAACGAAGGCGGAACAGTAACGCTATCGTAGCGAGTATACTAAGAAAAACAGACGTGCACTTTTTATACATTTTCTCCTTTCTTAGAAATGTGAACATGTATCTATTTCACTTTACAATGAAAGAAAGTACAATCTAAAGGACGAATACATTTTATAACAGATGTAACTTGAAGACTGGCAATTGGAACATAGCCCGGACGCTCCTAACCAAAATATTGAAGAACAGATGCGACTTAACCTATTATAGCCAAATGTGACAGCTAACTTTCAATTTAACTTGATGTACGTATATCCGTGTTACCATCGAAGAACTTTGCGTTTTAATTAATGACATTTTTTCCAGGATTATATACATACAATATTTATTGCTAAGAAGACCAAAATTAATCTTAAACAACATTGATGTACCATCTTATCAGTTAATAACCAAATTATAAATTCATAAGTGGCATTTGATGCTTAAATGTCTGATTAAACGTTTGAGATAACAATAGAGCTGCTGTAGCATATAAAAGTGAAGTATTACTGAATCACTAACTGTCTTCTGTAGTTACAAACAGCTTCAGGATGAGTGCAATACCTCCTATCAAACCACCACGTGGCATTAAACCAACTAAAGAAACGGTAGATAAATTTTGTAATTAGAATATCCTTATAGTCCTGAATCTCATTATGAGTAAGATGAAGCTAATGTATATAATGAATATATCTTACAGAGTGGTCTATTGATCTCTGTAATTCGTGCTCTATCAGCAAGTGAAACAAATGAGCAACGTGAAATTGAGAAGGCAAAACTAGAAAAAGAGTATAAGCGAAGTGATCAACGTTTGGACGAATTAGTCTCTTTGCATGATCAGGATCTTACGGAAGTTATGCAAGTAAATTTACACATGCTTATGTATGCTTATCAAGAAACAAATGTGTTCAGGAACTTATCAAAATTATCAGTGAAGCAACAAATTTTTGCAGCAATATATCGTAATGTCTCATTATACTTTGCTTTGCTTTGCTTTAGATATTCAGCGCATTGTCTGAGAAAGTGACATCATCACGAGAGAAGATTCACGCGGTAAAGGAAAATTTGAATGCCTGCAAACAATTGCTGAGATGTAAACGAGAAGAATTACTCAACTTGTGGTTGGAAGGAATAGAACATAAACAAGTCCTGCACCTTTTGAAAGATGTGTAAGTTTGAAAGTTGAAAGATGTATAAATTAATTTGGACAATTTTATAATTAACATATTCTCATCATACTATACTTCATGTACCGCGTCAGTGGTCACGAATATATGTGTTACATATTATATAATTTTACAATCTTCCCATTTCAGATCTGCGGACTCATGTGCACGTATGGTACCTTTAGCAGAGCCTGAATCATTAGCATCATCCAACACATCGCATGGTCCTTCGGTAGATCAATAAACATTTTACATGATATATCAATATAGGAGTGTTACTTAATCTAAAGTTATAAATTTATTTCATAATTAATTTAGTTTTATTTATTTCATAGTTTATTTAGTTTATGGCTGCGTTCACTTTCACCGGATACTTATGCGCTGTAATCGTCATTCTATCTTCCTTCCATGAAGTAATGAATTATAGAATGACGCTTACAATGCGTAAGCATTTAAAGCAAACACAGTCTATGTAATAAGGACAGGGTGGGAATAAGAATTTCCAGAATTAATTAAATAGTCTAAGTTAGATTATACAATATTTTGAAGTTATGTAAATAAAAGCCATGTATATGTTTCTAGTTCTTTAACAAGTTTATTGATTTCAAAAAGTAGACACGAGATATGAACTTGAGTTAAAGAATCAATGACGATATCGCTCGAAATTTAAGAATCTGCGCAGAAGCTAAGAGCAAATCCGTGTTCTTAAAATAGTTGCGTATATGTAAGTTTTATTGCGCAGTTATTTTATGATGAGATTTGTGCAATAAAACTTATGTATACGCAACTTTTTCAAGAATACGGACTTTGATTTGACTCTGAAAGTATCTTGCAGCGAGAGCGCAAAACTGTTCTGATCCATACACACGCAAAACTAAGGGTGCGGTCCAACAGCCACTACAAATATGCGCAGCGTTTCTCCTTTTTGTTCTATTCCTCAGATTCGAATGAAGAAAGAGAAAGAAGTAAAAACGCTACAAAGCATATGCATGCTGGACCGTATCCTAATGCAAGATTCACACTGCGTCCGATGTCCGACGTATGATGTCCGATATCCAATAAAAGAATAGCTTTTTAATGGAAAATTGAATTCTATATTAGAAAGCTGTTGTCCTATTGGATATCGAATATCGTATGTAAGACATCGGACGAGGTATGAATCCTGCATAAGGCTGTGTTTCGTAATACTCATATGCGTACATTTATCTATAGTTGATGTCACGTATATTGTAGAAAATACACGCATATACATATTACGAAACGCAGCCTAATGGCTTTCTACAATAAGCCATTAGCCGCAGGTCATAAGCCGCAAGAAAATTGACTAATCACAGTCGATTTTCAAAAATAATCTGCCCATAATATATCATTCACGCGGACGCAATAGCTGCAAGTTAAGCAGTTGGGTTCCGTGATATCTAACATATATTGCTTCGCAAACATAATATTTGCTTACCAAACATTTTTTGACGTCTTTCTTGCGTAAGTGGTAACAATACTATAGAATTGGATTTTATATTTGGACTCTTGAAAATGTATAATAAAATATATGGGCTCATGCTGTGCACCGTGCGCCGAATATTCGTTCAAATGATTTACTCGATTTTTATTTCGACTTTCTTCGAAAAGAAAAACGCTTTAAACTTAAAGCAATATTCCAATTGGTTCTTAAGTTTAAGCTAAACTGGGCCTAGGTGGCGCTTTTCTTCATCTTTCACTGACAGCGCACCAAGATCGCGCGCGCTGCCATCGTGTTGCCGTCTATCGAATTTCCGTTATCAACGACATTTCCCGTTGGCACTATCGAAAAGTGGGTGTTGCTCCCGTCACTCGTCTGCTCGCGGCCGCACGTAACGTAGGAAAGTTGGCGTTGGGCGGACAGCTAACGCTGTATTGAGGACTGAGGATCTTGGCGATCGTCGCGAAAAGTCATGCGTAAGTAAATCCTGACAAAAGTCGACTGATCAATCGATCGGTGGATCGTTTTTCATGCTCGAGTAAAATCCCGTTTGGCGTCTCGCGCGCGCGTTTTTCGGCAATAGTGATGACGACGACGACGACGACGACAGTAAAGAGGACCAGAGGTTCGATCGATAATACTAACCGTTCGTAAGACATATCAGACGGACGGTCCCAAATGTCACTTAAGAAATCAATCGGAATGTTATCTGCCATCCCGAACGTATTTATAATACCTCGCTTGATATCGGACTACGAGTTGACGGATTAGTCGATATTACCCTCTCGCCAAGGCGCAAATCTTGCACGATGCTCTTGTTGAGTTTCATGGACGTACTTTTGTACTTACTCTCTTGTCGTACAATGTGTTTATCAATAATAGAGTATTGGGATTGATTTCGATACACATCGCAGTGTATAATCGATTTTATTTCCGGAGCAACTTTATTAATTTTGGAATACTTGAGAGGGGAGAGATTTGATAACTTATTGTTTCTGCGGTGAGATACTTTAAAGTAAAATAAATAAAAGTAAATAAGAACATATACAGAGGAAGAAAAAATTTATTTGCGCTACTGTTTATCATAAAACTCATTTTTTTTAGCAAAACTAATGCTACGCTTGATTATTCTTTTATCTTTCAGCGATAAGTTAGAAAGTCTGTTCTTTTTAGCTGAACTAGGTTGCACATTTTACCTTTAAATAAATATTTAAATAAATATATAATCTAATGTTGATAGAAACAAAGAATAATGTTGAAGGAACAAAAGCTGTATTCAAAAGAGAAAAGTGCTTTGCAACTGTTGTTAAATTAATGAATCTGATTGGTGTATGCTGTTAGATTGAGTCAAAATTAAGAATATATATCAATTATTTCTTAATTTTACAACAAAGTTGTAAGTAGCTTTCTCTGTTGAACACAACCAAAAATTCTAATGCAGCATTAGTTCTACTAAACAGAATAATGCCTATGATATAGTGCCGAAAGGACAAAAGATAAAGTTTCAGTGCAATATTAATTTAGTTAAAAAGAGATCTGATCTTGTTTGTTAAAGTAGAATGCATATTTTGCCTTTAGAGCGAAATAAATATAGCAATGAAAGGAAAAGGAATGATATTTTAGTAATCTTAATTCAGCAGTGATAGCAATCTTAATTCAGCTAAGAAGAATAAATTTATAACAGAATCTTACCTTACTCCAAACTTAACGAATGCCCCAATTTCCTCTGTTTTTAATTTCTTGCGTGTGATACATTGGTTATCCTTGCAGGCTGATTTTGGTTTAAGCAACTAACACCACCCTCTGTCAAGATGATAGGGGGTCTGTTCGTTTACAATCACAAGGGCGAGGTGCTGATCTCCCGGGTATATCGGGACGATATCGGTCGGAATGCGGTGGATGCGTTTCGTGTTAACGTCATCCACGCACGACAACAAGTACGATCGCCCGTGACCAACATTGCTAGAACTTCGTTTTTCCATATAAAGCGTGCCAACATCTGGTTAGCTGCTGTCACCAAGCAAAATGTTAACGCTGCCATGGTGTTCGAGTTGCTACTGAAAATCATCGACGTTATGCAGTCATATTTCGGCAAAATTTCAGAGGAGAACATCAAGAACAATTTCGTGCTCATTTACGAACTGCTAGATGGTCAGTATAAGACTCGATCGACAGCTTAACCCTTTCAGTGTTTTGAATTTTTAATATTTTCGGGAAATAGAGTTCGCTTATTTTTAATTCACTATTTGTCACAAAGTAGCACCACAACGTAATCTCCATGTCCAAGAAATGCGAGAAAATTTAGTCGTGAGACTAAATTTTAATTTAGTAGAACATTTTTTCTAAGCCGCAAACTTAATTCAATAATTGTGTTCAGAAGTTGTATATTTTAAGTCGATCTCAGTCAATTCACACAGTGAAAGAATTAATGAACATGTTGGAACTTGTCTGAAAGATCCTGTGGGAAAATCTCATTATTTCTACTGTTTATTATTTTCTTGCAGAAATTCTCGACTTTGGATATCCCCAAAACTGTGATACGGGAGTACTGAAGACGTTCATCACTCAACAGGGCGTCAAGTCTGCCACCAAGGAGGAACAGGCTCAGATAACATCGCAAGTCACTGGCCAGATTGGATGGCGACGTGAGGGCATTAAATATAGACGCAACGAACTCTTCTTAGATGTACTCGAATTCGTGAATCTCCTAATGAGTCCTCAGGGTCAGGTTCTTAGCGCGCACGTAGCCGGAAAGGTAAACCGATCGCGAGAGAATGTTCAATCACCTTGCCAAATTTCCAATTGAGAATCTCTCTCTCTTCAGGTCGTGATGAAATCCTACTTGTCAGGAATGCCGGAGTGCAAGTTTGGCATTAACGACAAGATCGTCATGGAGGCGAAGGGCATGAAAGGAGGTGGCGGATTGGGAGGTGGTGGTGACGATCCCACGGGCGCTAGATCCGGCAAGCCAGTCGTTGTGATTGATGACTGCCAATTTCATCAGTGCGTTAAGCTTAGTAAATTTGAGACCGAACATTCCATTAGTTTTATTCCGCCGGATGGTGAATTCGAGTTGATGAGGTAAGAGGAGATCCGGGAGGAGGAATATTTTTTTTCGGATATTCGATTAAAGCATGAATGTACTTATGCCGCGTTCGTCATTCGTTCTGTTGCAGATACCGCACTACGAAGGATATATCGTTGCCATTCCGCGTGATACCACTCGTGCGTGAGGTGGGTCGGACGAAGATGGAAGTAAAAGCGGTGCTGAAGTCGAATTTCAAGCCGTCGTTGCTCGGCCAGAAGATCGAGGTGCGCGTGCCGACGCCGTTGAACACCGCCGGCGTGCAGTTGATATGCCTGAAGGGCAAAGCGAAGTACAAGGCATCAGAGAATGCGATTGTGTGGAAAATCAAGCGTATGGCCGGCATGAAGGAGACGCAGTTGTCCGCAGAGATCGACTTGCTGGAGACTGACACGAAGAAGAAATGGACGAGACCGCCGATATCGATGAACTTCGAGGTGCCGTTCGCACCTTCCGGCTTTAAAGTGCGCTACTTGAAAGTATTCGAGTCCAAGCTGAATTACTCCGACCACGACGTCATTAAATGGGTTCGCTATATAGGACGCAGTGGCCTGTACGAGACGCGGTGTTAACGTACCAGCTCGCCGAATGCATAAATAATTGTAAAGAAGTAATCTCAATATGAAACAAAGAAAAGAAACAGATCAGAACACATGAAACACTGGGAATAATCAAGAGTATCGAGTATTTGTCGATATTATTTCATTGCAGCGCATATATACGAAGCGATAATCTGAAACACTCAGATGGCTCGATCCCCGGACTCGTGCACCAAGTAGCGTAACTTATGAACGACGTGTGTTATTTAAGGCAGAATGATCCGTGATGATCCGCACGGAACAATATAACGGTCACAGGAAATTTTGCTTCTCATACATTATGCATCGCGTTAATGAGAGAGCGAAGTTCTTTTTAAATTGTCCTTGTTCGCTGATATCAATGTGATGCGCCGGAAGAAACTCTGGTTTGTTGAGTGGAAAATAAAAATAGATTCCAACTTGCTTGAGGAAAGGTTGTTGAACGAACAACATGATAATTGGAGAGTAGAGCAGAGTGATTATTTCTTTCGTGCCAATTTTTCATGTCGTCCACTTTTTTCTTTCTCTTGTGCTGACTCCTCCGATTTAGTCTCGTTGTGTTGCTTCTTCTGATTTGTATGAAGATCTTGATGCTTTCGAAATGTAAATTCTTTTTTCTGACAAAAATAATGCCGATCAGGCTATCGATCATGAAATATTTACTTCTTTTTTTTCCGAAACTTTATTCCGAATAAGATTTTTATCTACAGTTGTTCTGTTTTCAGCATATGAAGGAAGTGAAATTTATATTATACGATTAGTGAAATTTATATTATACGGAATAATATATCGCGAATAACAGATACATTAATTGCATAATTTTCTGAGACGGATAATTACGTTGTTGATTTGCCTCTGGAATTAGCAAAGTCATTACAATGTTACAGTTTACGTTCGCGAAATATATATAATTGTAGATTTATACGTCACTATACATAATATATGTTTTTTTTTTAATTATATCATGATAATGAATTTCTGTATTATAATATTGAGATATATATACACGAATTATACTCGTTTCGTACGTGATTTATGATATATACATATATATATACACACACGTAGGGTGCACACATACACTATAGCATCTTTGGTACCAGAGTTTGAATGAATGAAACTGAACAAATCTGTGCACGCTGTGGATCATTTGTGCGAGGCTTATGATGCGCTCAATGAAATGTAGAACACATGATAATATCAGTGTATCGTGCATGAGAGTAAAAGTAGAAAGCAACATTGATCGATTGTACAAGCATAAAATTGATTCTGTCTCTCTATATTAAAGCGCTCACATGCGTAATGAAGTATATATGTAAAATAAATTACTGCCTCTGAACGTGCAAGTCTTTGATTGCTTTCTCTGAAATACTCCTACTGTATTCCTATTGTGTCATTAGAAATACTCTCCTACTACCATATACTACATGATAAAACGACACGGGTGCAAAATCGCGAGTAATTAGTAATTCAATTAATAATTAGGATAAAAAATGCGACTATAAAAGCAATTTATATAAAATAATCACTTTTGGTTGATGCAATAATTATAAAATATTTTAACACTGTCCCATTGAATCCCGTTTATAAAGCTTTCCGTTACTAAAGCTTCGTTGAAAATTGATCATTAATAAATTAATAAGAAGAATGAGCTAATAAGAGTTAGTCGTAAAATAAGTGAATAACTGAAGATACAATGAATAAATGTAACTCGAGATGCGTGTAGCTTTTTACTTCGTATTGTCGGTTCTCCATTGGCCACACAACCCATTTTTCCAATTGCAATTAATTATACTTTATATAATTAATATAATTTTATATATATTTATATAATTTAATGAGACTCCTTCAAAATAATATAATCCTGGTGACTGTCATGAGACAAGCGTGTTAATTTATGAGAGCATTTTTAAGAAGGCTACTTGTGTATAAATTTCGAGTTTCAGAGACTTCTCGAGGTGGATTGATTTCCCGTTGAATGTACTGCATGACAAAGCGCTACTTCATATACAGGAACACGTATCGTTTATACTCATCTGTTTTCTATTTCCGACCCACGTACGGACGACAAATATATTCTGTAAGTTTAAATAAGACTGATTGAACGGACAAGTGTAAATATTGTCATTCAGTTCTACAGAATAGAACGTTTCGTCGGATCGAATACACAACGAATTGTTTATTATATAAACGGATCTTAAGTGACGCGAGAGCGAAGAGCGACGCTACTGCGCAGCCAGTTCGCGCAGGACACTCGTCCGACCGAAATCGCGCGATCTATCGATGCGCGTATCGATGCGCATGCGATTCGATCAGATTCGACTAACGAACCCGCCATCAGCCGCCATGAACAGGAGTGTTCCAAGTTTGACGCCGGGGCGTTTCGAGGCGCGAAAAAGCGAGAGAACAGACTGCACAGTTGCTGTCGGGACGAAAGAGGTGACATATCCAGCGACGAAAGCTTTATTCTCTCGAACTGCGTCATTTAATTGCACTTCCGCACTTCGTGCGACGTGAGATTAATCGAAACGACCGCGCCACCGATCAAACTTAACCTCACGGCGACCGTGATTCATTGTCTCATCGTTTTCTGACGCTTTCAAGATATTCGTTGCCGCGGGTACGCAGTTATTCACACGACTGCGCGAGGAGGAGGCTATCGAGTCCAGCGTCGAGGAGAAACACTACGCGGTTGTGAATAACCTCGTAAGTAGTGTTTCACATGTCGGTTGCATTTTTGTTCAGAACGAGACGATCGCGATGCGCGCGGGAACTCTTTGGCCGGTATGTATAGTCGGATTTTATATTTAAGATCGTCTGAAATTCGTCTTCAGATACTCTATGACCAATAATGCACACGGTATCTAAATTTGAATTAAAGACGATCTTAAGTATGAGATCCGACTGTGAATACTGCTCTTTGGCCAGTAGTCATACAGTCAGATCTTATATTTAAGATTCGTTGCTTCAGATACTCCGTGACCAGTAAAATGATTCGTACAGCATCTAAAGATGAACTCGAGACGATCTTAAATACAAAATGCGAGTGTGAATTTTCAGCGGGTCGAATTTCCTCGTGAACGCGCCGGGGCGGCCTCGAGGCGGCACGGCGCGATGACTTTTGTCGTGGCGCATGCGATCCACGGCTCGGCCCGCGCTCTCGCGCTCGTTCCCCCGGCCGTCGTGCTGCACGTACGTACACACAACGTACGTATATACGTGCGTGTACCTGTCATGGATTCCGAGGATCGACTGCGGTCGCGGACACGCGTGATCGCGCGATTTCCTGCGTGAGAGCCACGCATTATCGCCTCGCGACGCGAAGTGATCGCTCGGCGTCAGGGTGTTTCTCTCGACGAGGTAGCGCGAGAAACGTCGTTGTTAGACGAGACCGCCGCCTCCGCGCGCCGCCACTGTCGTTGTCGTCGTCGTCGTCGTCATCGTCCCGTCGCCGTCGCCGTCGCCGCCGCCGTCCTCGTCGCCGATCATGAACATCGCGGAGTCGCCGCGCGGATCAAGGTGCTACTGCCGCCGTCGTCGTCGTCGCTGCCCTCGCCGCTGCTGCTGGTGAACGCGAACGCGTGACGCGTCGCTGCGCCGCGAACGAGACGCCGTGCCTGCCCGACGCTCCGGCCGGGGCTGTGGGCGACGTCACGCGCGCACCAGGAAGCGCGGCGTGCCGAAATGAGCAGCCACGACGACGGGCCTTCTGTTCTCGTCCGGAGCAAGAATCCCGTGAGTATCCCGCACCGTCGCGTCCTTTCCCCGTGCCCGACGCGTCGCCGTGCCGCCTCCGCGCCGACGTTGCTGGCGGCCGTCGGGCGACGTCTCGTTTCGAACGATCGAGAATACTTACTGCGCGTCTCCGCGACGTAATCTAGAACAGTTTCGCGATGAATACGGGAGAATAGAGAAATAAAAATAGAGACTAGGTGAGCATGAGCGCGCGCGCGGAATAGGAACGATGGTAGAGCGTCGCCGTCGTCGTCGTCGTCATCGTTGTGCTTTTTCCCGTCCGCGTGGTGATCCGAGCGCGAACAGTTTTATGGGTGCCGCTATTTTTAGCACATACCGTAAACCCGCGGTCCGCCGTCGATCGTAAGGGAAGAATCTCGCGTTTTGTTCGCGCGTGCGGCCGCACGTGCCTCCGATTCTCGTCATTGTGGTTGTTGTCGTCGTCCCCCTGAGCGGATTCGAAGCGGACGCGCGGATAACGCGCGATGGACACCTCGTACCTTGTCATCCGCAATTTTTGGCGGGAAGTTCGACGGGCCGCCAAGTTTTGGTTTGCAACCTGGTAGATTCGCGCAGTCCTGAGTAATGCGTGCGAGCGTCCGAGCTCGTTTCTCCTGAACACGGCGTTCTCGAAACGGCGCTTGTGGGTATTACGAATTGCAATCCAGCACGGAGAAAGTAGATCGGTCGAATTAATGTGACAATAAACGGACCAAATGTTCGTCTCAGTTGGAGGAAGTAGAATGTTTGCTTCTTAGAACCTTAGAATTTGGTTTGTAAGAATCAGAAGAAAATTCTGTTCTCTTCAACCGAAACACATTTTGGCTCAGCAAATCTTTTTCTCTCTATCTAAGAACTGTATATACTAAGAAAAAAATAGTAGAAAATTTATTTGTGGAATATAAAGTTTATTCGCAGAAATAAACTTTATTTCGCAGAAATAAACTTTATATCCCACAAATAAATTTTCTAGTATTTTTTTCTCAGCGTACTTATTAACGGGTAAAGTTTCAGTTATTGGGATATAGTTATTATTGTTTTCATTAACTACTGGTTATTACATTTGTATAGTTATTACGTTGGTAGAAATTTATCATCATAGAGTATATTATTTTATCATCAAACGCATTCTAGATTTGATACGCGTGCGTGTAATTGCTATTATTAATTTTACGAATAATATCCGCATAGAATAAAAGTCAACGTTATCGTTATCGTTGTGATAATATCTCAATAACTAAAATTTTTTACACAGGAATGTAATGTAATTGTAGTAATTTTCTCCATCTGAGATCAACACGTTAAAACTATTAAAATGTTAGCTTGAGATGATGAGGTGGTTATATTTTTATATATATTGAAATGATATTAACTCTTGATTTCGAGGCAACCTTGAAAATTAATTAAGAGGAAACCTTATATATCAACCTTGTTAGAGTTTGTGTTTATCAAAAGTTCCGGAAAATAACATTTTAAGATTATGATATATAACATCGCCACCATCTTCAGCGATATAATTGAAAGCTTAAAATTTAAGTTTCATATTGGTGTAATATTTTTGTGCTGTTCAAACGCCAGATGTGTTATATTTCAACGGCTAAAAGCCAGAGGTGTCCGACGATTGCTCTCAATGAGCTTATCGAACGCGTGCCCGATTAAAGTTCGCGCTCGCTGGCTTTAATCGCACTCGCTCCGATTGGGATCGCGCGAATCGAAAACGCGGTGTGCGGTCGGCCGTTACGTCGGTGCACAGGACACGATGGCCGGTATTACGCGAGTTTCACGTGATCGCGATGGGGTTCGGTGTTTCGCGAGCGAGCACGCTGGCTTTTTCGAAAGATAATTCCCGTTGGAAAAACCGGAGTCACGTACGAGTTCTGGTGGCGTCGCGTGTGTACCCGATACCTTATCGCCGGCGTAATTTCGGTGAGTTTAATTATCGAGAGTGTAGATACGGCAGAACGTGCCTTGCGTCGCGTTGTCGTTCTTCCAAGGACGGATCTATCGTGGAAATTAATAAAATCCGGTCGGCTTTCGGCCCGTCCGTCCGTCTGTCTGCGTGGAATAATTTTTCGCGGGAATATTTGGCAATTTTCTTCCGAGATTATATGTCCCTCGAGTCGGAGAAAGGATGGGAGGAGACGTAATCTTTCTCTAACAGCTCTTTGCTTCACGCCAGGAGAATACTGAAAAATTATTATCTCAATACCTCGAAGGAGGTCTCACCTCCGCCCGTCTCGCGGCCTCGAATAATCGTACATTCTTGTTATCGCGACACGATTCATTTATTGCGTCGTACCTCCGTCACTCCGCGCGCCTCTACTAATTTACCATTTCAACGGGAAAAAGAGAAGAGGAAAATAGCCCGAGACAATTCAGAGATTAATTTCCTTAGTCTGGAATTGTCCTCGCGTAGGGTCATGCCGACGTCATAGGCGTTAACACACGACGGACACGACGTAATCGCTTGTAATGACGTCCACGTTGTAAATCCGTCCCATAAGGGCTCAGGGTGAGACCCTCCGACGCCTGCACGGTGTGAAGGGATAATATTTTCAGAACACAAGGTTAATCCCGGGTTTTACTGGCCTGACTTATTGAAGCAAGCGTTTCTTCCTCGTACCGCGTGCGAGACTCTCCCGGGCTCACGTGAGGGAACAGAGAGAGACAGTTGAAGCAGAAATGAGAAACGAATTGCGCTTATCGATTATAAATTCACGGTGGAATTCGCGAGATTAGATGGATCATTAATTGCGCGCGTCGCGTTGGCCATTCGTGCTCGCACGAAAGACAGAAGTGAGTTTCGAAACGCGCGTCGTCAACGATATCGGCACGATATCAGCGCGGTATATCAATGTACACCGTTTGTACGACGCCCTAGCAAGAGAACGGGTTTCGTTATCTGGACGAGCTCGTTCGTAATCAGCTGTTATCAAGAATGACAAGCCGCGCGTTGCTTGCCGCCTGGAATTCTGACGGCCCGTTCGAAAACGATAGTAACTACCTGCATAATTAGGGCCGTGCTTGAGAACATCAGTTTAGAGTACATCGCAGTTCCGCTAACTGTTTGGAAACTGACGTTCACTCTCGAATACGACTGACGCGCCGAGACTGATGCGCGCATATTGATTGCACGTAATTCCCGAATTTTCAGCTGTCTCGCAACCGAAATATCTCCCTGACGAGTCCTCATAACAGATTCCACAATCTCAAAACAAAACACACTTCTGAAATAAATGTAAAGAGGAAATTTTTCTAAAATAATATAGCTGATTGCACTAACGAGAAAAGTCTGGTGATAGTTAGCAAATTTGGTTCGGGCGTTTCAGTACAATATTTAATAATTAATTTCAAATATGTCAATGAAATAGTTAATCAAAATAGAAATCGAGTGTCTCGTAATAATTACAAAATACACTGAGAAAAGAAAATTTGAAAATTTATCTGCTACTTAAGAATTTATCTTTGTGAAATATGAAGTTTATTTCACACAAATAAATTTTATATCTCATAAATAAATCTTCAAATATTTTTTCTCAGTGTAATTAGTAAAACAAATTATTCATTTAGTTGAACCAATGAAATGTGGTTTGGTAAATAATACCAAATAATCTGATAATATGATTACTAAATGACTTGATTATTATTTAAATATTTGATCATTTCGTATGTTTATCACATATAATGTGGTATTATTGAACAATGTGATTTTATTTTATTATACAAATTGCTTGTCGATACATATCACATAAATTGGTATAACAGTAGCAACAAATATCAAACTTAGCTAAGAGTATTTGTTAATACTTATCAAATTATTTGACCACATCTCCTCCCCCTCTTTACATGTTTAGTTGAAACTATCTCACCAAAGCATCTGACAACAATTATCTAAGTTTGATGGTTATTACTTCTTTCTCGGTGCGCTTTTATGAGATAATTAAAGAAGCGCGAATGTCTGTCAAATGTGACTCGAAGTTCATTAAAAGTCGCCAGCGTTGAATTTACTTTCGGAGGATATTTTCCATCGGTTTATTTTAAATGAAATTCCTCAAGAAGCTCGAGCTAGGAAAAACATTATTTCCGAAATGATATTACCGAATTGCACGCTGCCAAAGTAAGCGCGCGGAGTTTTTTAAGCAATCGCCAGGAAGAAATGTTCGCCTTAGAGGCCGATGCTCGAGATACGATTGAGGGTTTCCTAGTCGACTTCTCAACGTTGCTTCAGCCCGTTGCTCGCATGCGTATTTTAACGCCGTTCCCTCCGATAAACGTCAAATCGCGACGATTGCCGAGGCGCGCGCAGTTTCGCTTTCGCGAAGACTACGCGAATATATGGGCGCATGTGAAGATCGATCGATCTAAACGCGTATACGTGACCGCCTTCTAGTCGCAATTTTCTAGTCAACGATACGAGGTTCGATACGCGTGCTATGGCAGTGCTATCGCCGTTCCAAAGAGTCCCACGGAAAGCCCGACGTGAGAGAACACGTGTCGCATTTAGTATTCTTCGACTCTATTCTTCTCACTCGCATCACGTTATTGGCAGGTTATATTTTATTCGTTTGTTTGATTTTACTCATCGGTTCCCCTCTGTCATTTGCGTCACTGTCGACCCGCACGTTAGATTTGATATTTTACACGGGGATTCTCTCCCCATAGAGTTGCAGAACGGGAAAAAAGTTCTGCATTATTTCTGCCGCGTTCCTGTGTAATCTAGATGAATTTATTCAACCACGTGTCTCATGCTTTCCTCTCTCGACGCGGCGTTTTCCTCGCAGTGTTTAAAAATCGTCCCCTTTGTTGTTGTTCCTTTTTTTTTAATAGCACACGGTTCAATTATCCCTAGCGTTAATTTGACCTAGAAAGCATGGTTTGCAGATTGTAAATTGGGAGATTACGCGCGAGACTTAAGCAGCGCAACGCTGCGGAGGATTAAATGTGACGAACGTAATGTACACAACGGGCATTAGCAAGTGCATTTAATTTCGCGGCGGCGGCGACGGCGGTGCCGCGCGACAGAAGGGCGTGTGCGCTCGAGGAAAAATACCACGGAATTCGTAAGAACGTCCCGTTCGACGCGTCGGCGATTCTAGGGCCGAGCCTCTAGTCAGAGCACGTTTCACATTTAATGAATATGAAAAGGCCGCGTAAATATCACTTAGTGCTTGCAGGAAAAACGTGCTTCGCCGCCGTTTCCACCACCGGCGTCCCATCCGTGCGCGAATCCGCAAGAAAAATTACAAAGAAGCGAAACGAAGAGAAACAGTAAAACATACTCGAGAATATTATGCAAATTTAAATTTACACTTCCATCTCTCGACCGAAGAGTCGAGCGTGCGCGAGAGATACTCTCACCTGCTCGCCGCCATTCGCGGGAAGAGATCAAACAGACTTATCGACTTATTTTCCGCCGAATATTCTCTCGAGGGCGTATTTTTATCGCGCCGCTGTCTCGCGGCTGCGAATCTCTCCGGCGTGCTCGCGATCGTTATGCAAATGAATACGCGAAATTCCGTAATCTCTGTATCGCAGTTTCCTCGATCGCGAGATTTGAGATTCAGGAGATCGACCTCGCAATCTGATCCAGGATTGTGTTACAGACTTCAATATTAAGTGAATTAATTACGTATTGCTTACATAATATATACATGATTTTTTTCTTATATGGACAATGTGAATGTTATGTGAATATTTGTAAATTACATTAAAATACAAAAAAGAATAAATCGTTAAACAGTATCGTTTCAAGTATTGATTAACGTAACACTTAAAAAGATTAAGTGCGTGAAACTTTTATCTTATTATGTGATAAATTGGTAGGTTTAACTCTAAATGTAAGAATGTAACCAGAGAATTCTCTGTGGACTCTAACTTGTTTAGGAAACAACGTTCATAAATTTAATCGGGATTCTCTGAAAGTTGAATGAAAACATAAACTTTCCTCCACTAATTGTCGATCAAGTTGTTCTTCAAACAATACGATTCAAACGGTACGACAATACGTTCTTCAAATAATATCCATAAATGGAAAAAAAATATTTGTTTATATTCATATGAAGTTTGTGATTTTAGTGGACAAACAAATGCGTTTTGGTTGAAGGACTCAAAATGTCTGTGGTCCTTATGATTCAAATTTGGTCCTAAGGACCAAAATTTCCTTCAATCAGAACGGGTCATTCGTTAAAAACAAAAATCCCTAACTTCATCTTAATACAACCGAACTACTTTCTCCGTATTGATCATCAATAGTCTACATTGATGTCATCTCATGCACAGTTGTCCACAAATGAATGTAGAATGTCAATTACGCATAAATGCCCGAGCTTGGCCCGGTCCGGATCTGGCAATCCATGAGCGTGGAAAAAGCGCAAAAGTTGGTGGCGGGCCGTACTCTCCTCCGGGCCGCTATAGCGAGATACAGCCAGGCATCTCTCCTCCGCGTGTGAATGCACCGACGACGCGACGGTTCTATTATTACTGCCGCACGTGCCGTTGTACCGGCAGATATCCGCTACGCGCGCGCGCCCGCTCGATACTGGGCTCTCTCCATACATGAATGGCCGCGATATTTACTCGCCTTTAACATTCCCCCTGCATATTTAATGCCTATTGAAGGCACGCCAAGCGAGTGACATTAATTCTTCCTAAAATATACACAGCGCGCATTTATCACGGATACGTGACGAGCCGCGCGTCATCGCGTCATCGCGCGTGGCACGCGTCGCCAGGACGCATCGGCGGATTATGTCGCAGGTCAGTTCGCGGATAAGGTGAAAGTGCCGGACACGTATCTAATCCTGAACATGCTTGCTTTGCTCTTCAAATACGGATAATTAAACTGTCAATATGGAATATATGTAGGAGAGAGTTGCCGAAATCGTACCTCATCGATCATAAACTTCACCTAATTTCTCTTCAAAAATTTGGAAAAAGTTTGAAACACGCACAAAATAAGATGTAATCTGAAAATCTTTTTGTTTATATTGCTCACTGCTCACTTATTATCATCGTTTATGTTCAACAATAATTAAGAAATTGATGAGATATGCTTTCAGCAACTATGCATTCGACATATGTATATATATTTTATATCAAAAATTGAAATATTCGCGCTTAAAGACTCCAAAAAAGTAAGGATGTCCAGGATTAGGTACGTTCCGAATCAAAATTTTGGTTCCACTTTCATCCTCGAAAGTCCACTTAACGCTTGCTTTGATACTATGAAGCCTAAATCAACTGCTTTTGAACCTACTTCACCCACTGACTTTGCCAAGAGGTCCTATTTAGAACCTACAAGTGGCATTTCATGCGTTTTCTGCCATTTAGAGGCGTCAAGTAGGACTTCAGTTTCCACGTGTATTACACATACACAGATCTTTCAGAATAAACAGATGTTAGAAAGTTCAAATCGAGAAAGTAGGGCTAAAATTTCGACTTGAGCAGGCATTGATATTTTTGTCTTGTTTGTGTGTATTTTGGAGATGATTCGACGTCTCATAAAGAAACACTCTAAAAGTGCTTTTTCATTGTTTGTGTACATGGTGTCGCACTACTTGCGACTATTTCGCGGCCGGGAAAAGGTCGGGCGTTAATATTAAGATCGCGAGACAAATGTTTCTCCCCCGTCGGGAAAACTTGCTGCTGTCTTATTGGTGATGTTCGCGTTTCGTCTCGACTCAGAAGTTGACAGCAACAAACAAACATATACACACATACACTCGTCTACTTAATAAATATAATATGATATAAAATATGAACCGCCGACTAGGTGAAGGAGTGAACTCGAGAAGTTTTTTATTTTTGAAACTCGCGCATACGCATACACACACTCGCGCACTGTCGAGAGTCTTTTTGCAAACCGCGACAAGAATTGTTACACACGGGAATTGGCAAGAGCGCGGGTCAAGCTTCTGTTTGCCGGGCCGGATCGACGTGACAATGGCGGCCAAGAAATGCATTTATGACAGTGCACGCCAACTTAAGTGGTTCCGCGGAGTCTGGGGAAATGAAAATCCTGCCCCCTCCTTTCTCGCGTTGTTTTTCGCGCGGGAACGCGGATAGTCACTTAAAACGAAAATATATCCCCGGAAATTCGCCGGGTGCGATTCATCGAGCACGGCGAATGGATGACGACGGGGATCTCGCGAAATTATTTTCCATCTCGCGATAGGTAACGAATCGATCCGCGAAACATTCCTCTCTCCGCCGCGAAGATTAGCCGAATGACATGCAAATCGCGGCTCATATTGCAGAATACGTGAAAGAACGCTCGCCGCATCTCTCCCGTCCAAGATCACTATCATAACGATGTCTGGAGTGGTTTCAAATACTCGGATGTCATTCATTTCTTATTCCGCGCGGTCGATTCATCACTAGGCAGAAGCAGCCGCGACAAATAGTACCGTAAGAACACGCGTCGCGTCTGAGAGCGTCCTTAAATAATTTATCGACTCTCATCGCGACACCGAGAGCTTCGTCGATGCCAATTTTGTCGCGATATAAGGTAAAGATACCAAAATGTCTGGACACTTATCTAACTCTAGCTATTTTTATATTTTTGGTCTTTAACTACGAATATTTTAACATAAAATTTAAATACGAATATTTTAACATAATCTTTAAATATGAAACTTTCAACATAGAATATATGTCGCAAGGTTGATAAATAATACAAATGTGTAAATATTTTAGAAATACACTAAAGACATTTCAAACAAGTAGGACATCTTTTAGATGTTTCTAAAGTGTTTCTTAAACATTTATGCTATATAGAATACATATAGGGTGTCCGATAATTCGCTACGCAGCCGCGATGTACAGATAGAACTCAACATAAAATTTCTCTACCATTTCGTAAACTATATTGTAATCATTCACCGATCGTCTTTGATTAATAACTCAAAATTTTACGTACTTGTTTGCGCAATGGTAAAGATATTTTGTGTTCAGTTTGACGAGTATATCCAATATATGTATATATACATATATATATTCTATGTTGAAAGTTTAAATACTCGTATTTAAAGACCAAAACAATAAGGATGTCCAGACATTGGTACTTTTACTTTGGGTAGTTGGACGGTTCTGATCTGCGCACATTTTCATCGTGATGACTCATCCTCGCTATTGTGTTTATTTTATTCGGTAACTTTGCAGATTCATCGTGAAGTCGAACGCTTAAAATTGCGAGTTAACAGCGCGGCGTGTTTCTCTTCTTTTTTTTCTTCTTTTTTCTCGAGCCAGCCGACCCCGAATGGCTGCTTCGGGAAGTTTTACCCTATAAAAGCGAGGTTGATCAAACAGCAGTGTTCCTTCGTAATCGGCCATCAGTTCCGCGGATTTTTATCTGTGCCAGTGTGTATCGCGAAGTGTCACGGACGCGGGCACAAATGGCTCCGAACAAAACTCATCCAATTTTAAACCGCGATCCTTTCGGGATCTCCCGCTGTTCTCCACTGGCGCATGGGATCTCGAAAACAAATCCCTCCATTCGAGTGGGCCGAGAAAACGAGAAAATCGCGCCGGACTTCAAATCGAGGCGACCGAATCTTCTAAGTTCCAACATAGATCGGGGTCGACGTAAAACATGTTTTGACCATCCCACACGATAATCGATCTATTTGTCGGTATATTTAAGGATATTTTAGGGTTATTCGGAATATAAATTAAATTATGTTACCCGTTGCCTAAAAAAAAAACAAGAAAATTATATAAAAAAATTTTTAAGTATTTTCACAAACACCAAGAATCGAATTTGTAATAGTAGCTTCAACTTAGATTTAAGTTTAAACTGTGTTCTAATGTGATTCCAATGGTAGTAAGACATCAAATGACGTATTTGATGAATTTAAACAAAGTTTAAGGTTCTGGTTTAAGATAGCTGAAAAATAATAAATTCTTTACACTTTTTTTTTTTAAGGAAATGAACGAAAGTAATAACCTAGGATTCCGACTAATTCCATTGTTTTAAGAATAAATAAATTATTAAAAAAGAAGTTCCGTCCATGTTTTATGTGCTGAGCACGATATCGTTGTGCAGCACATCTAAGTGTTGGCAACATTACAGCTCGTATGACAATCTGAAACAGATCTGAATCTGACCATAATCTGAGAAAATTTAATACTGTATTAAATTTGCTGGATGATGAAATTAAATCCTGTGGAAAATTTCCAAAATTTTTATGTACTAATAAATTTCATACAGATTTAAAATTTTTTGTCCCCGTTGTTTCAAATTATTACGCGAATTGTTGTCCACCAGTTAAAAGTATCTGTCCAACAAAAAATGGAATTTTTATTTTTTTAATAAAAAATAATTTTCTCTGCTTAAAATAATGATAAGTGGTATTGTCGAAACTCTCTATCGAAAATTTTACTGGAAATCGGAAAAAAATTCTCAAGAAATTCCTACTTTTCAACTATCTAAATTAGAATTTCCTCTTAAGTTTAAATCTAAGTTTAAATTACAATTGAAAAATCAAATTTATTTCCTTTCTTGCACGGGGTGATCCGTTAAGAGAATTAAAACTGACTTGAGGAAATTAGCGACTAGCCGTTAGACTAAATCCGTTCGTCAAGATCGACTGACCGGCTTTCTATCACACAGGAGCACCCACTCAGGCCGTTCCCGTGCGATGCGGGAAAAGGGGGGGCGCGTTAATATATCGGTTGTGCGGCGGGCGATCGTCTAAAAGCGGTCGGACTTCTCTGGACCCGGTCGCCTTACCTTTAAACCGCTCGCGCGTCTTTCCCCGTTACTTTGTCGCGGTGTGATGTCGTGGCCGACGGCGGTTTCTTGGAGAAGAGAGGCCGACAGTCGGGGCCGCTCGTACAGCCGTCGGCAGAAATAATCCCATCGATTCCGTCCGCCGGAAGAAGCCACGCTGGTACGCGCTTTCTACGTAAAGGCTTGTCCACAATACGCGGAGTGAGCTTGGCGCAAGTTAGAATAAAAAATAAAAATCATTTACTTCGCTCACGTCTACACTAAAAAAAATTATTTTAAAATTTGTTAAATTACTAACTCCCTTATATTACAAATATTCCTTTTAAATAAGAGAAGTACTTCCGGTGTAAGGGAGCTAAAGTATAATAAAGAGAGAAAGGAAGCGAAATAAATTCTTTTTATTTTCTACTCCAACTTATTCCGCGTATTGTAGACGAGCCTTAAGACCCCGCGCGGCGAGGCGAGCGTGCAGAGTCGCTCGGGGTCAGCGCTAGCGACGATGACGGTGGCAGCGGGGTCACGGCTTGGGAGCGGCAGGGCGGATGGTGCGGTAGGATCATCCTCTAAAACGACAGCTTTAATATTGCTCGGTGTTTGTGTGTGCATGTGTACGGGCATAGGAGGAGCAGGTGGCAGCGATCGGGTGGGACTTTTAAGAGCCGGAGGTCGTGCTGGAGAACGCGATTAACGTCGTCGTCGTCGTCGTCGACGACGAGGAGGAGACGAAGAGGGAGAAGACAGCTCTCTCTCCGTTCGCCACTCTCGGCCGCATCCGGCGAAAACAGACGGAGGCGAGAAGGTAACCGAAAACGGACGGAGGCGAGGATGAGGCAAGTGGTTGTGCTGGAGCCGGCGGGCAGCGTGCTGGTGATCAGGCAGACCTCGTTGGCCGGCGGGAACGCCAATTCTGGCAATCCCGGTGGCAACCCCAACGACAACCACGCCTTGGCTAATCATCACGCCGCCGTGTCCACCATCGCCTCCAGCGACCACAATCAGAACAGGATCGTCGTGGTGCGCTCGTCCTCGTCCACCTGCATGACCAGCTCGGTGAGAATCCCGATTGACCTTTGAGCGCGGATATAAGGGAGTGGGCGAATGGCGAGCAGTCCTCGAGATCGCTACGAGGATTGTTTTAGATTGTTCAACGCGTACCACCGCGTTCGCTTTTGTTCGTGTTTACTCTACGACTCCGTTATGATGTGGCTTCTGATTATGTGTTCTAACTAAGCCGGGAACCGGGCGAACTCCGAGCGTGCTATTGTTAGCGTTCAACTTCCGCGGAGGCTCGCGTTCTCCCAGGAAAAGTAAATCGCGGAGCGCGCTCTAGCTGCGGGATCAATCCGCAGTCCGAATAGCTGTTGAGGCGAGGGAGCATGCGATTTTGATTGCTCTACTAAAAATATGATCTCCTTATCGATCATCGGCTGCTCGCAGTGAACCCAAGATACCCGCGTCTTTCGTCAAGAAATTGCACACAGAAAAATGCATACTGCGTTCGGGTAAATGTTACCTGCTCAGATTATTTCATAAGCTAGTGTATCTGCAAATCTGTCGTAGACTTATTATAAGTCATGAAATTTACTTATAAAGTACATTCTGAGTTCTGGTAAGTTTAATATTTTAATCAAAAATATCAAATTAGATAGAAATATTCGATTAGAAATATTAAATCAAGAAGAAGAAACGATCAAATAAATTTAAAAAAAATTCGACTTGCTTACTATATGCACGGGGAGAAATTGATTAAATTAACCAAATAAATATGAGCGAGGCGAGAAATTTCGGTTGATGTCACAAGAATTTCAAGTTAACGAGGAAACTTGAACATAATTTTGTTAACTTCGACCGGAATTTTTGGTTCGTTCGTAAGTCATCAGAAATTTGACTATCCAACCAAACTTTTCTCCCGTGTTAAGTTGAATTAACTTTTTTTTTAAGTAGAATTCTATAACAAATTCATATTATTAAGAATTTTCAATATTTTTATAAAGAGAATCAATTTTTTTAAGTGTAATAAGCTCTTCCAAAATTTGCGTGATGAGTACATTTGAGGACTATCGTCAAGAAAATCCCTTGTTAAGAATAATGTGTGAAAAGAAGAGAGTAAACTGAGCTTTTCTTAGCAGCAGAATAATATTTTTTCTGTATGCACGAAAGCTGCGACGATATGTGCGCTTGTTTCGAATATACACGTGGCTGTCCGACGCGGGTCCGATTGCAGATCGGTTAATTCATTTTCAAACCGCGAATCATTAAATTGCTCCCGATTTAACTGGCCGCTTAAACGTAGGAGTCATATTAGGAAAGTTTCGCTAAAAACGTGTCGGCGGCGAAAGGTCAAATGATCGTTGAATGCGGGATCGGAGGTGTGAAAGATGGTACGAGAGAGAGAGATGTGTTTGCTCGCAATTTCTCTCTCTCTTTCTCTCTTTCTCTTTCTCACGTGTCTCGACGTAGGACAGATGTCTTCGGGGAATATCCCCGTTAGTCGCGCAACCAAGTACTTACAGAATAAAAGCTCGCCTTCCTAGCTTCAGCGCGAGGGGGAGGGAAAAAAGCACCGCTCGACTATATAGCTTCACAATACGAAACGAGACAACTTCAATTATAGCTGGGAATGGGTGGCAGGTGGTACCACGAGCCTCGCCTGCTCCAACGTAAAGGGTTAAAGAGGATAGATCGCTCCTCGTCGCGAAGGACGACCTCCGCCGCGCGCCGCTCGGTGTCGCGATCTGATGCAACGTTCGCGTCGATTTGAACGTTTTTGCCGGTGCTGTGTTATGTTCGCGGTCCGAGAGAGCCGCGCACGGAGCGGCGCAATTTTCCGGGATTTTTTTTAACGAACAGGCTCGTGCTTTCGAAAGCACGATGTAAAAGCGCGCTGAAGCACGTTGTTTAAAGCCTCCTTCGGTCGAGATATCGCTCAATCGAGTGGTATTTAATTCTTTCCTCTCTTTTTCCTCTCATTTTGTTTTGTTTTGCGTCTAGAGCCTTTTTAATTTCCAACAGTCGCTCTTGATTGCCCTGAATTTCTCGCGTCGGATAAAGCGAGAGACCGCTCACGTTATCTTCATTTGCCTCTCGCGTAACATTATCGCGCTTCCACGAGCTAGGCGGAATGATTGGAATTAGCCAGCCATCGACGAGATTCCGCGCTACACGATCGCTTTGTGTGCTGTTTGCAGGCCGACAATCACGCGTCGACCAACGGTAACGGTAACATCAACGTTAACGCGAACATCAACGGGAACCCCGGCGGCATTAGCTGCAGCAGCAAGACGTCGTCGAAGGTCGGGGTTGGCGGCGTTGCTTGCAAGCTGAACGAGAGAAACGATCACCTACGGAACGAGCACAAGAACCAGGACGGGGCCGTCAGCAACGAGACGAACGCAGCTGGATGCCGTCCAAGGACGAGCAAGGAAGCCGCTCACGAGAACGTCGTCGTCACCGACAGGAAGCTCGATGGCGCGGATCCCATCTCCGGTGAGTACTACTTCCGCCATTACTTACTCGGCGCCTTTGACAGGCCGAGCGATCGCTAAGTCGTAAATTATTTACGCGTGCATCTGCTCGGGAAGGGCTGACGTATGTGTACGTCCCCGTCACTGTCATCCCGATGACAAATGCCGAAGGTAGATTAATACGCCGGCACGAAGCAGAACAGATGTCGGTTTCGCGCTTTCGTAAGTTGGGAGGGAGATATTAGTGAAACGTATAGGGTGTTGAGAGAAAATAGGATCCAACTTATCGAGTAGAGTACTGACTGAACTGAGAAAAAAGCACTCGGTGAACATGAGTCGAAATATCGACCCTTTCAATGTTAGAAGCGACTTTTGCTTTTGATGTTGTAGAAAAGAGTTGCTGAATTCGTCCCGGTCTCTTCAAACGTACCTGAATTCCTTAAATGTCTGTAGCACACACAAAACAATAATTTGAGAGCTTTGTTTATATTTCCCATTGCTCATTCATTTTTCATCTTTTACCGTCAGATATTCAATAATAATTTAATAATAATCAAGAAATTGAGGTACGATTTAGGATTTTGGCAATACTCCCTTATATGATTTGCTCGCTTAAGCTGGAAACGATTTCATGCCTTCTGACATGCATGTTGACCGGCAGCTCAGTTCACTGCATAGATCATCCAGTGCACGATAGCGATTCATGCAGTGAGCTGAACTGCCGATCAACATGCATGTAAGAAGGCATGAAATCGTGCATCGTGTGATTTCAGCTTTATATTATTACATGCGGCGTGAAAAACAGGAGATGGTCTCATAATTTAACTGTATATCTGTGTAACACTGAACAGATATGTAATCCTAAGTCGCGCAAAGACAAATATCTAATCTTCTAAATTGAGGTAAGACGATAAGGTAATTTCTTGCTATGAATTGTGTGTAGAAATGGAAGGGGAACGTGTCGAACTTTGTAAACACGGCAATAAGAATGTTACGAGATAATCTTCTGTTTCCATGGCGCATGCGATACTACAAGCAAATCATGTGCATCATCAAAATCAAAAATTGCTTCTAATTCTGAAAGAGTTGTTTCGACTCGTGTTCACCAAATACTTTTTGCTCAATTTAATGAGTCTGTCATGCAAGTCTTGAATCCTTCCTCTTCAACAGTCTGCGTATACACGTATGAAATACGTACACTCTTTTTACTTAATGCGACCAATATCAATTAACTCCGATGGGGAGAAGCACGAGGGAGGAGATTGCGTTCGAGAGAAACGTCAGAAAGTTCCTCGCGATTTCAGGCAAACAGAAACATAATGCAATTTCGCGTAAATGGAAGTATGAGCCTTATTGCATATCAGCGTCAACATTGTCGTGGCGGAGTTGTTGCGATTGTTGCGTCGTTACGAAAAGTTTTCAGGCTCGCCTGTCTGGGACAGCTTTAAGTAGTTCTCGAAAATTATGGCTCTCTCGCACGAGAGAAAGAGAGTTAACAGGGAAGAATTAGTCCCGCGCGTTCGGACTTGAAAATCGCAATGAAGTTTAAAACAAACGCCAGCGTTTTAAAGCGAAAACCGTTACATTACCGCACCGGGAGTGGCACCGGAACGACAGAGACACAGAGAGAAAGAGAGAGAGAGAGAGAGAGAGAGGGAGAGGGAAAGAGAAAGAGAGAGCTGACCAAAGTTTCCACTCATCACGATGGAAACGGAAACTGCAAACTGCACTCGAGTTTCACGGAATGACTTCGGGGCCCGTAAACCACGCGATTAGCAGCGGGCGGCTGTATGAGGCACGATAAACTATCGGTCCTGCAAGTTTTACAGTTTGTAGCTTCCCGTGTAAATTGGCTAAGAAGCGCTGGCTGCTCCTTGCCGCCATTAACGCCCGGATAATTGAGTGAGATAAGAATGAGAACGACTTCACGAGGAGATCCGTATGGAGAGATCGAACTCGAACGAAGGAACACGATGTGAAGCAACCAAGGAGGAATCGGAGATTTGAGCACTGTAAACGGAGCTAACGGATTATCGAGCATGTAACCAGAGTCTTATCCAAACTCTGAGATATCCTGTTCTATTCGCGGCTCCTTTCATCGCTCGATCTCGATATCCTCTTCCTATCCTCGGAGATTTCCTGACACATTTCCTGCTCTTCAAATTTCCAAATCGGTAAATATTTCAAATCCTCCCCGAGGATTTGACGCTTCGGAATGAAGCTTCGAATGTCGGAGATCTCTCGAACATGGGAGGACTTGATTGACGTCTCGAGTAAATTTATCCACACAATTAACGTGTCGCGATGATAACATCGTTTTTCCCTGTTATCATCGTTCTTTCCTGCACAGCCGAATGGCCGCGTTTTCTTTCTCTTTTTTTTTTTCCCAGCGCGCCAAATTGTTTCGTGCAGTCGCAAATGAATTTAACTGTCGTTGCATATCGGAAAACGGCGGCCCGCGTATTGCACTACTGCTGCACGTTGATCCCGGATAATACGCGATGTCGATACGATATTTTTTGCACGACGCTCCCGCCGCGCACCGGAAGCCTCGCCATTAAAAACAAAATGTAGTAACCGATGCAGAAAGCAAATATCCACAATTCTCACCGGCGGAATTATTCTTTTTTCCTCCAGAGAGAAAGAGAGAAAGAAAGAGATACAGAGAGAGAGAGAGAGAGAGAGAGAGAGAGAGAGAGAGAGAGAGAGAGAGAGAGAGAGAGAGAGAGAGAGAGAGAGAG